CCAGCACTGCCTGGCACAGAGCAGGCAGTCGATAGATATTTGAGCGAATGAGTGGAAGGCAAATCTGAAAGAAGTATGTCCCCCCGCCTCACCCTCCTGCTTCTACCTAGGCTTTCACGGAGACGCAGAAGAAACGGCTGCTGTCCTGGAAACAGCAAGTGCTGAAGCTCCTCCGGACCTTCCCTCGCAAAGCCGCGCTGGAGATGCAGAACTACCGGCAGCAGAAAGGGTAGGCAGGCGGCCGGGGCGCAGGCCTTCCCTCCCCAGGCCCTGGTTGGTTGACAGATAGTGCTTAGAGGGGAGATTACATTCTGCGCTGAGAATCCACTTGTACTCATTCAGTCCCCGGGTGACTGTCACCCAGTGAAGACTTTCCCAGAGGAAAATCAGGATGGTCTTACCACTAGAATAGGGTGCTGAGTTGGCAGAACCAGCACGTGTCCCCATAGCAGGCCCCTTGCCTGTCCCTTGTTCCCACCTGTGTGCAGAGGGCTCTGAAGTCCCTTCTCACCCCAAGCACAGACCAGAAATGTCACACTTGAGACACAGTTGAAGTTAGGATAACTGCCTTGAGCGGCCACGAGGAAACCTTTGTACACTCCCATCTCCGTCTGGGGGTTCCCTTGGGGCAGGAGACAGAATGTGTGATGCAGGGACTTGGACAGGGAAAGCTTGCTCAGAGCAGGTCTGTGTTCCGTTCTACCCATGGGGACTAGGGCGGTGAGGAGGGGTGGACAGGTGGGCCCATCCACCTAAACTGACACCCTGTCTTCTGCTGTCTCACAGCTGGGCGTTTGGCTCCAACTCACTCCCCATAGCTGGTTCTGTGGGGATGGGGGTAGCCCGGCGGACCCAGCGGCAGTTCCCAATGCCTCCCCGGGCCCTCCCACCTGGCAGGATGGGCCTTCTGAGCCCCTCAGGCATTGGGGGTATCTCCCCACGACATGCCCTCACCAGCCCCAGCCTTGGGGGCCAGGGCCGACAGGTGAGCCAGCTGGAAGCAGGGGGCCTAGCGCTTCTGGGGTTGGGGTGGTGGTGCCTGGGACATGCATGCCTATCTTTGCGTCTTGGCCCAGCTTAAAGGGGAGGGGCTCCTCTGCCAGCTCCACCATTCCTGGGCCTGGGCCCCTTCCCCACTCCTTCACTGCTTTCTCGCTTCCCATGCCCTGTGCAGAACCTGTGGTTTGCCAACCCCGGAGGCAGCAACAGCATGCCCAGCCAGAGCCGCAGCTCTGTGCAGCGCACCCACTCTCTCCCAGTCCACTCGTCGCCCCAGGCCATTCTCATGTTCCCTCCAGGTAAGGTGCCCCCACCCTCGGGTCTGCCTCAACAACACCCTTAGCCGGTTCTTCTCTTCTCTTCTGGGTCTCCTGCCCACTGTCCCTTCTCAGCTGCCTGAGCTCCTCTCCCCATACCTCCCACCACTCTGCACCCACCTCCCCACAGCGTGGGTTTTCTTGTACTCCCCCCCCACCGCCCCTGTTTCACTTTTACATTTTAGATCCTGCCTACTTTCTCTCTCTCTCTCAATCTTCTCTCACCCCTTACTCCCACCCCACATCTCCACATCTCTCCCTCCTATATCATAACCTTAGTGTCCCTGTTGGTCTCTGTCGCCTTGTCTTTGGAGGATGGTTAAGTACTCAGTTTGGAAGGTATGGAGGGGATGAGACAGTCAAAGTATCAAGGTTTCTGTGGGGGGGAGTCCTGCTTATCTGTTCATTGGCATTCTTTCAGAAGCCAGGTGACGAGACAGGACCCAGTAGACCTCAGGTCTCAGATCAGGTCCTACTCTAAGGAGTGTTTGAGGTAAGAGGGCTGTTTTCCCTCTTCACAGACCAGCCTAGAGATGGGAGATCAGAGGGTGAAGTGGGCAGAAGGGAGGTTAGAGCCCGGCCCTGTTCAGTGAGTGGGGATTGATTCCTCCTTGCGGAGCTGGGCCCGCTGCTGGGCACTAAGGCCGCAGAGGCCGATAAGGCTGATCTGGAAAGGGCTACCTCTGGAGAAATCTTAGATTTTCAGGTGATCCTAAACTCTTCATGTCATAAACTGCCAAATCAGTAGGGAGGAGTCTTAATTTATGAGACTGTGTGGACTGCCATCTGTCAAAGGCAGGGGACCTTGTCCGTTGTGTTCGTCCTAGCACAGGGCTTGATATACATGGGAGGCATCTGTAAATGATGTTAAATGACCGGATGGCTGAACTGCGTGAGCGAAAAAGAAGAACAGTTCTTTTTACTGATAGGCTGTGTGCCGGGCTGGGGGTCAGACAGCTTTCCTGCGGTGTCAGATCAGATCCTCCCAGCTGCACACGTGGGGGCACTGCCGTTATTCCTGTCTTATCAGTCGTAAATCTGAGACTCAGAGAGGTGACTTGCCCAAGGTCAGAAACAATTTTTATTAGGGAGAGACAATTACATGGTCTGACATGGCCTGACCTCAGGATGCAGAGGCGACATGATGAGAAGTGAGATTAGAGATGGGAGCAGGGTCTTCTAAACCCAGGTAACTTCCTCCCAAAGGCAGTGAAGGGTTTTAAGCAGTGTGGGGTGGAGTCAGGTCAGGTTTGCGCAGGGAGGTGGGCTGTTTCCCAGACACCAGAACAGGAGGCCCTTTTGAGAGGCAGTTTGAGGACAAGCCCCATGGCTGCTATCCTGATTTGCCCCACCTGCCGGGCCTGCCCAGAGGAGCAAGTCCAAGTGGGGACGAGAAGGGTTCTAATTAAGCTTCTTCACCAAGTACAGAGCAGCTCATCAGTCACAGAGCACAGGGCTGCCCAGTGCCCAGCACAGAAGCCCAGACTGTGCCTAAGGCAGCGTGCAGTGTGTGTCCAAAATAGTAAGTTGCCTATGTGTGGCCTCCAGGAAGCTCCCTCAGCTTCACATCACTTCCTCTGTCTGCAAGTCAGGCTTTCTCTGCATTGCTAAACCTCTGCCCTTGCCATTGTCAGCTCTGCCTGCTTTGTGATACACCCAGGCCTGTCTCTGTCCTTCAGCTCTGCCCAGTCATACCTTCCATCCGAGGGGGCGGGTGTTCTCACGTGCTCTGTTTCTCTGTCTCTCGCCTCTCCCTCTCCCTCCCTCCCTTTCCCTCTTGTCCCTCTCCGCCATGCCAGCCCATCCAGTCCTTTGTCTTCCCAGCTCTGCTCTCTGCCCCAGTCCAGCCTCACTGCCTCCGGTCTCCTCTCTCCCATCCAGACTGCCCGGTCCCTGGGCCTGACCTGGAGATCAATCCCACTCTGGAGTCTCTGTGTCTGAGCATGACAGAACACGCCTTGGGTGGTGAGCATTTCCTCTTTCCCTGACCCAGCTCCCACCTGCCCAGCAGCGTCTCCATCTCTGAACTGAGCAACTCAGAGTCATCCTGAGGGGTCCCTAGGGGAGGCCGGACTCCAGGGAGGGCCTGACTGGGATGACAGGCTACCCGAGCGCCTTTTCTCAGGCCTCCCCCAGCTCCTGATCTTCCTCCCTTCCTCCCTCTCTTACCACAGATGGGACAGACAAAACCTCCACCATCTGACGGGACCCACAGCCCAGCGCACCTATAGGCTCCCTGGGCGGCGGGCGGGGGCCAACCCCCAACGGGCTTCTCTGCAACAGCGAGAGGGTGGGCTGGCTCAGCTATACATTCTAATATTTTTCTACTCTCTCACCCTTTTAACTTTTGTTTAACATTGGCACACGCCTTGCTCACTCCCAGGCCCGTCGAGGGATCTCTGCTGAGGCCCAGGGAGGTAGAGGGCAGTCAGGATGAAGGGGGCAGGGACTGGCCAGCCTGCCTGCCCCCTCCTTCCCTCATCCTCTACCTGGCCCTGTCCCACCCCTGCCTCCTCCAGACCGCCAGCCGCCTGCCCCTCCCCAGGGAGCAGCCTCCCCCTATCCTATGGGGACTGCTCAGAACCACCTGACATTTGGGGAGACAGCAAGGTAGATCACCTCCTCTCCTGAATGTTATCTGAGAGGAGCTGAGGAGAAGGGAGGGTGAGGAGAGGAGCCCCCCCCCTCTTCTCGCCACATTCTTTGCCTTCCCCATTCCCATCGCGCCCCAAGGACAGGAGCCACCCTCCTCTCACTCACTTCCTTTTGCCCTGTTATCAGAGGTTCTCTACAATTAATTTCTTAGGCCTATTTAAGATACATATTTATATAGTTCTTAACGGTTTTTCTCTCTGATCATTCCCTCTCATTTTTAGAATCCCTAGGCCTCTCTCTGAGCCAAGAAAGTGGCAGGGGGAGCCTGAATTTTATGAGGAGAGAGGGCAGAGCCCCCTCCTGCAGACCCCCTAGCCCTTCCCCCCTTCCCCCAGCCCTGGCTCCCCAGATGCAGAGGTTGAAGGCGGGGGGCCGGGGAAGCCAGTGAGGTCAGGAAGTCTGTTGCCTTAACGTCCCCTTCCCCCACCGACACACACCCTTCTCCACTCCCAGTCTGGTTGCTGGAAGACTTGGGGGTAAGGAATAAGGGAAAGGGGATTGTTCGGTTTTTGGTTTCTTTCCCCAGCCCCTCTTTTCTTTCAGCCTTCCCCCACCCCCCATTCTGTCATGACCTCACTTAAGTGGAACACTATATCATAACCCAGAGAGTCGTCCCAGCCCCGCAGTCTACAGATCCTCTGGTCCCTGTTCCTACTGAGGGGTTGTGCTGGGGCCCAGGTGGAGGGAGGGGATTTGAGGGTCCAGGCTGTGGGGAAGCCAGGGTCCCCTATTCAAACCCCCCTTCCCCCTCAACCCACCCCTCTCACTGGGACATTCTCAAGCTTTTCACACCGAAAAGGAAAAAAAAATGTTATTTTTAGATACATTTTATGAATAACTTTTGTTATGAATATGGCTGGTAACCATTGTGTATGTTATTAAAGATACAAAATGTTGGGAAAAAACAAAAAACCAAAAAAAATTTTAAAACCACCGCCCTCCCTGCACTCTCACCCTATTCCCCACCTTCTTGCCGCTGCCCTCCTGGTCTGGACCTCCCTCAGCTCTGAGCCCAGGGAGGGGGAGGAAGCCAGGTGGTGGGGTGGCCCTGGGAACCTGCTACAGGTCCCCACCTCCTCTCCCAGTGCCGGGCTGGGTGGGGTGTCAGGTTTATTTATGTACCTCTTGCACACTCATCAACCTATGCAAGTCCCCCACCCCGGCCCCTCCATGTTTCTGTGCCTTTGCTCATTCCCCTCAAACTCCCAGGGCTTCTCCAGTCCCCCTCCCACTAGCCCCAGGAAGTGGGATGGACAGGGGCCACCTCATTTGGAATCAGCAGGGTGTTCCTCTTACAGGACCCTCACCTCCTCCCAGCCAGTCCTGTCCTGTTCACTTGTTCAGGGCGAGCTGGCTCTGCCTGGCCCTGGGAGGGGGCAAGGGACACCTCCCCACACACAATGGGAGGCAAGAGCTGCCCCCCTCCTCCCACCTGACAGCAGAGTGTGCAGGACGCAGGCGGCCCCACTCTGATGGGCAGGACCCTGATCCTCTCCTGCTCTGCCCCTCCCCACCCAGGCCCCTCCACCATGATTTCACCCTCCCTCCTATCTCCAGCCCCACTGGCAGAATCAGCTTTGAGTAACTGTACAGTGTTTCTCGCTGTTGGAGAAGACTTATTTGTTGGAGTTTCACTTGTTTAATGGTCTGGGCTTATTTTGGAAAAAAAAAACAAAAAAAAAAAACAAAAAAGGATTCTGACCTTTGTTATGCTACATTTCATGGAAAACCTAGTGACCCTGTCTCTGTGGCCTTTGCTTCCATCCCTTAAGCTGGGGCCACTGAGCACCTGGGGTAGGTTTGGGGAGGGGGGAGGAGGGTTGTAGTCGGAATAAGACCATAGGGCCTGGGAGGGAAAGTAAAGAGAAGTTGGCTTTATTAACAGCAAAGGTTTGGAGGAGGGGAAGGAAACAAACAAAGCGAAGGGCTTGCAAAGAGAACGCTGGGAAAGTGCCTTCCTGCGCATAATAATCTCGTCTGCGCCAGTCCTGGAGGCCCTGGGACTCAGTCACTGTCGCTGTCGGCTTCACTGGAATCAGAAGCTGCCGCTTCACTGCCATCCTCCTGGGCCGAGTGCTCACTGCCACTGGGGAAGGGACTGGCGCTGCGGCTCCGGCTGTGGCTGCGGCTCCGCTGGCCACCCCCATCACTGCCGCTGTCCGAATCGTCACTGCCACGGGCCCTGCCTCTGTCCTCATCATCAGAGTCAGCGTCGTCCTCTGAATCCGCGTCACTCCCGAAGATCTCCTCTTTGTCCCGGGCAGCCCGGGCCTCATCCTCGCTGCTCTCGTCCTCGCCGCTGCCACTCTTGTCACTCGCCTCGTCCCTGTCACCCTCCTCGCGTTCACTCTCACTGCCTGAGCGCTCGTCCTCACTGCCTTCCTTCTCGCTGCTGCTGTCCTTCTCTCTCTCCTCATCTGTAGGGGAGCGGGGAGAAGTGAGACCCGGTTTCCTACCCGCACGGCGCTCCCAGGGTTTGGCCTGTCCAGCTGTACCTGAGCCCCCAGCTTCTTTCTCTTCTGTTTCCATCTCCTCTTCCTCTTCCTCCTCGGGTTCATGGTTCTCCAGCTGGGCCTTCCGTGCCTCCTGGAAGCAGCAGGGTTGAGGGGAAGGAGGGTGTTCTCTCAGGCTCCTGTCCCTCTCCTCACCCACCACCACCCTCGCTACGGGTGCCCTGGGCCAATGGTGCTTGTTACCTGGGCTTCTAATTCCTTCTCGTTCATGTCCCGATGTTTGACCACAAGCAGGGCGTTGGTACCTGACTGAACCCCAGCTTTGGCCCGGCGCTTACTCAGGCGGACCCTGCAGTGGGCAAGTTGTGGGGGTGGCATGGAAGATGCGGTTAAAGACCCCCAGTGGGGGACCTGGTCTGACTCCGTTCTTACTTTTTCACCAAGGCTTAGCCCAGAACAGACCAGAATAAATGCAAATTGAATAAGGTGAGGGGAGGGGACGGACGATAGTTCCAAAATACCAGTTTGGTTGCCCTGCACTTCATAAAGTGTATATATACACACACACACACACATGCACATACATATACACTATAATGTAAATTAATACTTAAAAACACAAAATCTAGGCTTCTCGATTTCTAGCTTTTGGAAAATATGAATCTATGGCCCCAATGGGCCTTTTTGCCCCCCAAAGCATAGCAACAATGGGTTGGAGCCCTTTGCTGGGCTGGGTCATGGTGCCCCTTTGAGGTTGCCAGGAGCTTCAGGTCACATACACCCCACGAGCCCACTGTGCCTTTTACATTTCCTGCCTGGCTTATGGGATCAGAACTTGTGATCTCAGGGGCTGGCCCGGAGGTGTAGTGGTTAAGTTCGCTCACTCCGCTTTGGCGGCCTAGGGTTCATAGGTTCAAATCCTAGGCACAGACCGATGCACTGCTCATCAAGCCATGCTGTGGCAGCATCCCAGATACAAAATGGAGGAAGATGGGCACGGATGTTAGCTCAGAGCCAATCTTCCTCAGCAAAAAGAGGAGGACTGGCAACAGATGTTAGCTCAGGGCCAATCTTCCTCACACACAAAAAAAAATTTATGATCTCCACTTTAAATAGAAACTCAAGGCCACACTTTCTTTCCCACCCTTATACCAAGTGCCCCATCACAGCAGTAAACTTTTAGCTATTAGGGAAAAGTTCTAGGGGGGGTCACGTTTTTGAACTTGGATTTCCAGCATCTCATTTAAAATAGTTCATGCTAATTTTATGTATTGCTCCATACTTTGACTATGTTACTTTCATGTGAAGTCTCTTAATACCAGGGGAAACTTGGCTGTCTACCTTATACAAAAGCTCTAAATATCTCCAGTGTCATGTAAAGATTTTCTTTCTTGGTTCTTGTGTTAAAACCAGGTCCAGCCCACTTGCGTGAGCAAGCTTCTGCTGCTCTTGCTTAGAAATGCACGTGACAAATCCTTAGGTAGAAGTGACCTCCAAGGTGGCCCTTGCACACCCTATGGTCTCGATTCTGTAACACAGGCCCAGGCTAATCTGAGATAGGAGTGTGCTGAGTACCTGGTCTCCAATTCATTGTAGTAAACCCCATCACCCTCTCGGAAGATGAAAAAGTAGTTTTCCTCGTAGCCCTTGCTAGCCTTGTTCTTCACGTTCCAGTTGTACTCCCGAGCAATCTTGTAGTCATACCTGAGGATGAGGGGAACGGGGTCAGCGCCATTTCCTCCCTCAGAGAGAGAAAAGGAGACACACTTCTCAGTCTCCAAAACCTAACCCCGGCCCACGCACACATCATCCGGTGCATAGTCCATCTCCTCTTCCTGGTCCCGCTTTCGTTTCTTCAGCGTCTCTTCCACAGGCAGGAAGTAGGCCACAAACTGGTTCCCTTCTTCATCCATCATGCCTCTGGTTAGGGGAAGAGAAGGAGCAGTAAAGAGTGAGGACAAAGGGGCAATGAGGAGTAGCCCAAGGTGGGTGGCAGGGCCACTTACCTGATCATGGCCTGAGACATCATCTCCAACGCAGCTGCACCACTGGTGTCCTTGGGGGCTGGGTCTGAGTCAAAGATCACCTGAGCACATGGGTTGATCCACATCTGGGGGATGGAGGGCATTGGGGTTAGACTGAGATGGGCAGAGATGGCAAGCTATCCCTCTCTGCCTCCCGCTCTGGATCTGACCTTAAAATCTGGGAAGACAGGCATGACCTCCACTGGTGTCACTCGGGGCTTGCTGTAATGCTGGGAGATCTGGCAGAGGCAAAATCAGGGTGAGGAGGAGGACAAAGAGCTCTGGAGCCACACCTTGGTCTGCCTCCCCCCATCCCACTCCCTCAATTACCGACTTCTGTGCATCCTCAAAAGTCTTCTCAATGGCTGTGATCTGGCTGTCCCTGTCTTTGTATATTTCCTCCTCAGTGAACTGCTGCTTCACAGAAACTCCAATCCTAGGGGTGAAGAGAGAGGCCTTTAGGGACCACTGGACACACCTTAAGTCTCCACTTTCCCTTTCTACCCACTACAACTTACTTGACCTCAGGCTTCTCATTGGAGATGCCGTAACGGTTGAACTCAGTAGAGATGTACTCTGTCTTCCGCATCCACGGCACCACCTTCGCATGCTGCTGGGATCTGGGGTGGAGGATCATGCACCTCAGGACCCCATCACCCTCCTCCCATCAGAACCAGTCCCCACTCAGCACCCCCTCACCTCTTGGAGCTCGTGGGGGCCTGAATCTCCTCTTCCAAAAGCTTCTCATCAGCTGGGTCTAGGAGTACTAGGGGAGAGCAAGGGGGCAGGAGGACCATGAGGGAGGCCCAGGCCCGGCCTCTGCTGCCCTAGAGCAGGCCCTCCCTGCCTCCCCACATACCATTGGGGTCAATGCGGTAGGTATCAGGATTGATGAGGTCAATGGTGACCCCCAGGTCTGGCTCAGTCAGGAGGTCATGTTTGTGCTGTTTTTCCAAGGAGGTCGCTTTGTACTGGACGAACCTGGTGTGGAAACATGCCCATCATGGTTTCCTGATTCTAGCTTTATCCCTCACATCCCTGCTTCCCAGAGGCTAAGCTTCTCCAGGGAGGACCTCAGAATGGAGTATCCTCCATGGTGGAGTCAGAGGCTGGCTCTCCAGAGGGAAGAGACTTGGACGCTGCTTGTCTGATTCATCAACAGGTATTTATGGCACCCCTACTACTATGTGCTGGGGACTATTCCAGGCCCTGAGAAGAGAGCAGGCAACCAGAGCAGCAGTCCTTGCCCTCAAGGGACTCACATTCTAAGGGACTTGTTTCCCCATCCCCTGTCTGAGTCTCACCTGTTCTGGTCGAAGGGGTAGGTGATGAACTTGGGGTCGAAGGGGATGTCAGGGAGGCTGTTGCAGTACTTGACTCGGCAGACCACTCCAGACCTGGGAACACAGAGGCTCAAAACCTGGCTCCTGCTGCCCCACCTCTGCTCCCAGCCCCCACTCCTGGAAAAACACAGGGGGGCTCACCTCTCAGGCAGAGTCCGGTGGGAATTGGGCCTGGTGGGTAAGAGAGAGAGACATTGATTGATAGATGGAAAGAACGGGACTGACGGGAGAGTGCAGGGGGCTTCTCCAAGCTTCTAAGACAGGGTAGGAGTGACAAATGCTAACCCCTTTTGGTAGGAGTGTTTCAAGAGCTTTAATGGAGGGCGCTAAATATTCAATTCCTTTTAGATGAAGTGTCCGTAAATGCTTTAGCGAATAAAGCCAAGGGCTCAATCTTTTTTGAAAGGGGTGTCTTCCAAGCGCTTTAATAAAAAGAACCACATACTCAATTGTTTTTGGGAAAAAGGGTCTCCAAACGCTTCACTCAGTCCTTTCTGGATAGTCTCCAAGAGCTCAATCCCTGAACTCCACGGCAGGGGAGAAGGGGGCAACACCCCGTCCTCGAAGGAACCCGTCCCTCTCCGTCAGGTGAGCCCTCCGTGACGTCACGGCGTTTGCTACGACGGTTTGACGTCACAGGCAGACCTGCGGGGCTGGTGACGTTGGAGGCGGACACCCGCAGCCGACCCCCCGCCTCGGCGAAACCTGGACAGACCTAGAGGAAAGCAGTACAGCCGGGCGGCGGGGCGTCTACCTGTGGCCGTCCTCCCGCTGGGTCTGGGTCTGGATGGTGGGCGCCATGGCGACGAGGCGACGGCAGCCCGGACGCGGTCCTTGCTGAGCCGCGGGGAGACGCGGAGGGGCGTTCCGACTTCGGCGGACGCCTAATCCGAGGCAGCGCTCGGGTTGGCGCCGCTCTCCGCCGGGACTGGGTCAGGATGAGGTGGGCTGGTGAGAAGAGTTCCAGTGGAGACTGAGGTAAACGCGCAGGCAGCGCCGAGGACAGACTCGCAGCTCCGGCTCCACCAACTGCCGCCAAGACGCTGAGGACCCAACAGGTCGCCTCAGGCCTCGAGGCCTTCTGGGAAATAGAGTCCGGATAGGACCCACATCGGATTGGGGAGCGGCAGGGGAAAGGGCGGGGCGAGGGAGGAAGAGCCTCTTGTGATTGGTGAAGTCGGTATTTCAGTCTGGACTTCGGTGCCTTCTTTCCTCCCATTGGCTGAGTTGCTTGGGAGGCGGAGCTAACTAGCAAACGGGGGGGGCCTAGAGACGAAGACGCTAAAAAGAAACCCGGAGAGACGCACTTGTGACGCACTTCCGGGGCGCTAAGCGAGAAAATGGCCGCGTCCCAGCAGCAGGCTTCCGCAGCTTCCTCTGCTGCTGGTGTGTCGGGTCCTGGATCGGCGGGTGGCCCGGGTCCCCAGCAGCAGCCGCAACCACCGGCACAGCTGGTGGGGCCTGCCCAGAGCGGGCTTTTGCAGCAACAGCAACAGGACTTCGATCCTGTGCAGCGCTATAAGATGCTCATCCCGCAGCTGAAAGAGAGTCTGCAGGTGCTTGGCCGGGAGCTGCGAGAAGCAAGCGGGGTTTGGCTCTCGGATTCCAAGGGGGCGGGTGGAGGAGCTGTTTAGCCAGGAAGAGAGCAAAAGGAGCGTTAGGCAGGGAAAAGGAGTGAGACTTGGTCCTCTTGGTGAGGCCAAAGCGAAGCTCTGCGGATCGACAGTCTGAGGTGGGGTCACCGCGGATGTTGAGCCTGGGACTGGCCGGGACTCGAGTGGGAGGCAGTTTAAAGGAGAAACGAGGCTCTGATTGTGAAAGCCTGACGAAAGGCCTGGCCTGTGCAGAGATTCTGCCCGTGATTGGTGGGTGAGGGAGGAGTCTAAGGTATGTCCGGAGATGATTGGTGAGAGCGGGCCTCTGGGAAGATACGGGGGGTTATTACTATAGAGGAACGGAAGCGGGAGTTCTCTGGGGTGACGGGAGGAGAGATGCCAAGTGAAGAGGGTGCCCCCTTCTGTTTCTCCATCTCCCGCATCTTTTTTGTTTTTTTTTTTTAACTAGACTTTGATGAAGGTTGCAGCCCAGAATTTGATTCAGAACACTAACATTGACAACGGACAGTGAGTGTAGTCCCCTTTTCCCAGGACGTTCTCCTGTCTCCACCCCAGTCGTAGAAACTCATCCCCTGAGCCCCGCCCCCCCGCCTCTCCCCCCTGCCTCCCCCCTTCCCCCACCTTTCTTCCTATTTTCAAGCTCAGCTCCGTAGCGCCCACCCTTGTTCTTTTTGCCTCTTCTACGACTAACGGTCCCCTAGGCCCTGCCTTGGGACTCCTGAGCCTATACCTACTTTCCTGATGATGCTTGGTTGGGTAGACACTGATGTCCCAGAGATGGGCAATACATTCCCCAGTCAGCTTCTTCTCCTGGGCTATAGAAAGAGCAGCGACGGACCCATACAGCGCTTTGACAAGTGTCTGGAGGAGTTCTACGCCCTCTGTGACCAGCTGGAGCTCTGCCTGGTAAGACACTGGGTGGCCACAACTCTGCCTCAGTCCTCGGGGTCTTCAGGAACCCTCATTCGGTCAGTCAGCACACACTCACTGGATGGAAGTGGGGCAGGAGTTGCAAGGAGGGCAAGCGGCTAAGAGCACAGCCTCTGGAATGGGACCACCACTCTCTCTCTAAGCCTTAGGTTCCTCCTTTGGGAAATGGATTTTCAGGAAAGTCTCAGCAAGATCATGCATGCAAAGTACTTAACATGATACTAAGCATGGCAAACATTTCCTGTAATATCATCATCTTTATTTTGAATTGGGTTTGAAGGAAAAGTCAGAGTTTGAGAAGGCTGGTAGAAAGGTTTTCCAACCAGAAGGAGCAGCTTCTGCTTTAAGTTCCCTTTAGGAACATCACAAAATTCAGTCTGGCTCAGGTGTATTGGGCCTTGTTGAATTTTGAAAATAGCCCTGAGGGCACTGGGGAGCCATGGAGGATTTCAATCAGGGAAGAACATGGACCCATTTGCTTTTTCAGGAATGTGCCTCTGGCTGCCAAATGAGGGATGGGTTAGAGGGGCCAAGAGTGGAGGCTGGGAGCCCCAGGAGGCAGCCATGGCAGCATTCCAGTGGGCTAGGCCCCACCAGGGCAGGGCCCTGAGGAAGTGAGGGAGGGCAGATGAGACAGATGCTCAGAAGGTGTTGTGGACAGGCCATGGTTCTGACAGGCTGTGGGAGATTTGAGGCCCAGGGCTCTAGTTGGAATGGTAGGGCCATCCCTGGGACAGAGACCCAGGAGGAGGAGCGGTTTGGGGGGGAAAGTATGAGAGCTCTGGAATTTCAGGGGAGGCTTGGGACACAGATGTGGTGTCATCAGCGCAGCGGTGGGAAGTGAGTGACGTGTGTGGGTGAGACAGCCTGGAGAGGGCATGAGACTGAGAGGAGGAGCCGGGACCTGGGAACTGCTGCATTGAAGGCTTGGGTAGAGTAGGAAGTCTCTAGAAGGAGCAGCCAGACAGAGGAGTAGGAGGAAAAGCAGGAGCAGGTGCCATCAGAGAACCCACGGCTGATTCCCTGCCTGCGGTTAGGACAGTCACAGTAACGGTAGCTGACATTCATTAGCCAGGATCCGTGTCTGTGTCTCATGCGCTGTTCCCACCTTACGAGGTCGCAGAGGCAGTTATTAAACCCATCTTCCTAAGGAGGACACAGGCTCAAAGAGGCGCAGCCGCATGCCTGAGGCCACCTAGCAAGTGACTGGCAGGGCCAGGCTTTGACCCTAAGACTTGGGAGTCCAGAGGCCAAGCAGGCTACCCCCGGGGTGGGGTTGGGAGGACCTGGAATGAGACTGATCCGTACCTTGCCTGCCTGTCCACAGCGCCTGGCACATGAGTGCCTGTCACAGAGCTGCGACAGTGCCAAGCACTCTCCCACGCTAGTGCCCACAGCCACCAAGCCGGACGCGGTCCAGCCTGACAGCCTGCCCTACCCACAGTACCTGGCCGTCATCAAAGCCCAGATCGCCTGTGCCAAGGACATTCACACGGCTCTGCTGGACTGCGCCAACAAGGTCACGGGCAAGACGCCTGCGCCACCTACGGGCCCCGGGGGCACGCTGTGAGCTGGCCGGGAGTGGGGCAGGCCTTGGGGGAGGGGGACTGGGAGGGAATGAAGAGTGGCCTCAAAGCAGCCTTGTTTCTGCCTTTTTTCCCCCCCCCCCCCCTTTTTTTTTTTTTTTTTTCCCCCCCCCCCACCTGAGCACTGCGGCCAGAGCCAGCAGGGGGCAGCAGCGGCCAGCAGGCGGCGCGCAGGGCCAGGCCTTGCCTCTTCTGGCCGCCTGCCTGCTCTCCTCCCTGGCAGAGTGGACTTTGGCCTGTGCCTGTCGATGACCTCTTTCAGTGGCTCTCCCCGACCTGGCCTGGGTGTGGGGCCCTATCTGGGCCCCCTCCCTCCATCCTTCTTGATTCTAATCCCACTTTGGGGGTGGTCTCTGTGTCTAACCGTTCCTCTGTGTGTCTCTACTGCATGTGGCTGTCACCTCTCTCGTTCGATCTCTTTTTCTCTCTCTCTCTGCCTCTGTGGTTTCGTGTCTCCCCGTCTCTTACCATCCCTCTCTCCCAGGCCCCTTTGCTGTCTTCTGCCCCCAACTCCTAACTGGGGTTCTATGCCTATGAAGGGGGCCAGATTCTGGGAGCCAGAACCCTTGGGTTCCCTGGGGCTGAGGAAGGGGCTACATTTTCTGGGGCCACAGCCAAACCCAGGGATCCCCAGCACCTCCCATGTCAGCCCAGCCCCCAGGGTCCTTGGCCCAGAAAAGGGGAAGTAGAGGGGGTCTGGGCCCTGACCTCAGCACGCCTGGTCGGGGAGCAATTCGTACCCCCACCCGAACCCGGGGCCTGCGTCAGCAGCATTCAGCTAGGGGCATTGTGCAATCCGTGGTGAAGCCTGGCCCAGCTGGATGCCTGGGTCCCTGTATTTTTAGCCCCAAAGCAGAAGTGAAAAGGCCCCAGTAGGGGTGAATCATCAGTCCTGGGGAAGAACCCAGGCGCCTGGGCCGCAGCTCCGGGAAGCGGGCCTTGGGGAGGGGGCTTCAGGGAGGGCATGCCCCACCAGGCTCCCCACTTCACTCAGAGCGGGCTTTGGGGAGCTCAGCCATGGCCGTCAGGCCTGGGCAAGTGCAGGGCGGAGCTCCCGGCCCCTGCCCGGCTGCTGGGGTGTGAGGCTCCAGTGACTCAGGCTGCTTGCGGGGCCGCCCCACCCAGCACCTTCTGTGCCATGTTCCCATGTCGCTGCCCAGGAGCCCTCTGTCCTGGACCCCACATCTGTCAGGAAACCCGGGACATGCAGGCATGTGATTCACCCAGAGCCCAGGTCCCCGCACTGGAGTCCTGGGAACGGCGAGCTGTGTGTGTGTGTGTACACATCCCTGTGTGTGTGTGTGTGTGTGTGTACACATCCCTGTGTGTGTGTGTGTGTACACATCCCTGTGTGTGCGTGTGTGTGTGTGTACACATCCCTGTGTGTGTGTGTGTACACATCCCTGTGTGTGCGTGTGTGTGTGTGTGTGTGTACACATCCCAGGAAGTTCCTTCCCCTTCTCCCTGTCCTTGAAGTGCCAGGCACGTAGGGTAGGCCCTCCAAGGGGCAGCAGGCCTCTCGGGCACTAGCTGAAGTTGCTGTCCCTGGGGAGGATTTCTTCAGGGAAGCCACAGCTCTGCCCATTTATCCGACTGAATCAGGCCCCCACCTGAATCCCCAGATCTTCCAGGATAATCTCCTTCACTTAAAAGTGAACTGATTATGGACTTGAATCACATCTACAAAATACCTTCACAGCAACATCCAGATTAGTGTTTGATCGAATCCCTGGGCACTGTAGCCGAGTCAGGCGGGCCCATACAACTAACCATCATAATCTTCCTTGTCAACTTGGCACCCGTACACATCTGCTTAACCATACTTAATTTCCAAATACATACAAGAGCAAGGCCTCATTTCCAGCTAACATGCTACAACTATCTGTGTACAACCAAAAACGCACTCTTCCCCCAGAAGAGCCCACCACCTTCCAGCCTAGGGGCACACGCCACGTACTGGTGGAGATGTGGCACTCCCCGGGCGCACAAACTCAGAAGACAGGTCCAGCTGGCCCTGTGAGGTGGCATCCACAACATCACAGGTGGGGGCGTGATGCAGAGCCCAGCAGTGCCTGTGCCACACCCAGGGGACGACCGAGACAGCCAGTGGGCGGGATGATGGATGCACAGTTCAGCAGCCACACACAGGCTGCAGGCTGCGCGCCGGGAAGCTGAGTTCACTGAACAAACGTGTACTGAGCATCTCATGTGGGCAAGCCCCGTACAGTGTGAACCAAAGACCCTGCCTTCCTGGAGCTGCGATTCCAGTGAGAGACAGTTAGGTGTGATCGAATCAAACAGTCTATCAGGTGGTGAGAAGTTCCCAGAAGAAACAGAAAGCAGAGACGTGAGATCAGAAGCGGAGAGAGATTTATAATAGCAAAAAAAAAAAAATGGCGCTTGGAAATAAATCTACACAAATGCAAGATTTGCATATGGAGAATTATGTTACTTTATTGAAAAGCATTAAAGTTTGAGAGCTTAGGTTGGGTAGTGGTTCAGGGGTATTTATTATTATGGGCTGTAAATACATGTTACATGTATTATTTGTTAAATAGATGACAAGATTATTAAAAAAAATTTTTTTTAGTTCTTAACTGAGGTCATGAAGACCTCACTGAAAAGGTGGTACTGGAGCAGACTTGGAAGAGAGGGAATAAGTCATGTGGACATCCGAGGCAAGAGCATTGCAGGGAGAAGGAACAAGGGCAAGTGCAAAGGCCCTGAGGCAGAAATGTGCTGGTTTGTATGGGACAATGTGGAGGTCTGCACCACAGTGCAGGGACAGAGGAAGTCAAGGCAGGTCATGGAGGACCCTGGTGAAGACTTACTAGATTGTTAGATCCAGACGGAGATTGTACAGGCTGGTGCACAACCACACACCCCAGGGAAGGGTGTATATGAGATGCACAGCCAGACAGGGCAAAACAAACCATGGGGACACAGGCACATGGGGTCCCCAGGGTCTCTGGCCCAGTGACAGTCCCACAAACAGACTCAAAGGAACAATCCAACCACGTGAATAACAAACAACCGTCTAACCACCACTTAACCCACTATCTCTCACCCCATCGCAGACTTTGCCCATCACAGGCTGACTCAGCCCTGCCTTTAGCTTAACATTATCTAAAGCAGCCTTGGCTAGGGAGAGATAAGGCTTCTCAGGTGTGAGTGTGTGCCTCTGCCCTGCCCAGCCCAGCCCAGCCCAGCCCAGCCCAGCCCACAGAGGCCAGCACGGATAGTGACAGCAGCACGGACCGGGGTGCGCACCCGCCACCCTCATCATGCGCGCCGTAGACGTCAGGAACCAAAGTTCACCAGTTTCACTGCCTTGTGACTGGGCCACAGAGGAACCGCATACAGACGGTGGCCTCCCACATTCTCAGCGACACCCCCAAATAAGGACACAGGCCTATGGGAACACTGTTCACTACACACACCGAGGATGTGGGCCCTGCACGCAGCCACGGCTGCCTACAGCCACACACAGGCTTACACACACTCGGCTTCCAAGCAGTGTGTGCACAGATCCTCGTCACACCAGAGGACACCCTCAAGGAGTTACACACACTTAGTCACTTCAGATCCCACAGTGGTTCAGAGCTACACAAAGATGTGTAGGTAGGTATGTAGGTCACACGTTCTCATGAAAGCCACCTCAAAGACAGCTACAGTGGAGTACACGCTCCCACAGCCAGAGGTGGTTAAAGTAAACAGTGTAGCCAATCACTCGGGCCCAGGCGGTTTCACACATTTGTCCACACGGTCATGTCATGCGGGACCGTGAGTACACAGCCCTCACACAGGAAACACTCGTGCCCCACACCTATGTCCCCACTGCACACCCAGGCACGCCAGGGCACGCGCCCTCGCCCCTGCAGTGCCCACGCTATTCCCACGTGTACACACACTGGTGGGCCCACGCGGGGACACACTCGGCTGGGCCGCACCCGCTCCCGCCCCGTCGATCACGCCAGCGCGCACACGGCCGGGCACACGTGCCGCGTACACGCTCCCCGCCCGCGCGCTCGGCCCGCTCTCACACCCCCGCGTTTCCCGTCCCCGCTTGTTTTTCTGGAAACTCTGCGCTCCGTTCCCCTCCCCCTTGGCCGGAAGTGCTCGCCGTATTTTTAGCCTCTCTGGTTTCCGCCCCTTTCCCCCTCGCTCTGCCAGCCCAAGCCCGGCCCCCCCTGCGCCCCGCGGGGGACCCGGCCATCCCCTTCCCCACCGTCATTCCAGAGGGGATTCCCGGCCGCCGCCGGGGCCACGGATTTTCCCGCTGGCGACGTGGGGAGCGGGGAGGAGTCTGCCCGAACTTCCTCCTGGGCTGGGACGCCCGAGGCCTGGAGCGGGCGGGAGGGGGATGGGAGGCAGACTCTCAGGGCGGAGGGAGGAGGGGTGGGGGCTCGGACTGCCGGGTTTGAGCGAGGAGGGCCTGGGGGTCCGGACCCCTGGGTCTGGCGAAGGAGGGGGCTGGGGGCCGTGTCTCCTGGGTCTGAGCGAGCGGGGGGCTTGGAGACCCGGACCCCTAGATCTGAGCAAGGAGACCGGGGCTCCTGGGGCCCACCCGTCTGGGCTTGGATGGGTCGGCGGTCCTTCCCGGCGCAAAGCCCCCCCTCCGGCCTCTCCGAGCGTCACCCAATCCCTAGAGTCCCAGCTCTCGGGCCGATGACTCAGCAGATGCGAGAGGGGAGGGGGTCAGCCTGACTCAGGGATGGGAAATGCTCCCTTCACTCCAGGGAATCGAAACTGGAATCTCTCCTCCAGGATCGCGGCCAGAGCCGAGCCGGACTCCGGGGACCCCAGGGTGCCCCCCATCTCCCGTTTGCCCGCCGCCTTCGTCCCACTAGCGGCACAGGGATGTGGAGCCCAGGCGAGAGGCGGGTGCCAGGCACCTCCCTTCTCCCCCTCTCCCCCTCTCCCCGTTGTCCTCCAGGCTCTGTTTACAGGCGACAGAAGCCCTGGTTACAAGAGAGGAACCCGGGCGTCCGGGTCGAGCCTCCTCGTCACGGCTTCCAGGAAGCCCCCCTCCCCCGCCCCTTGCGAGTGAGTCACGGGCGAGCGGGAGGCTGCAATCGTGCCAGAGGCGCCCGCAGCCGCCCAGCTCACGGGACCGGCCGGGAAGGCCCCTCGGCCGAGAAAGCGCCGCACCAGGGATTCCCCCGTGCTCTGTCCGACCAGGCAAGTCGGCGTGCCTGGGAGAATCTCCTCACCTCAATACAAGCCCGCAGTAGCGCCTGCAAGCATGAACTTTCCACCATCATAACTGCACTCCGTAGCAATGATTTCTACCCCCATATTTCCACTCAGGGCAGCCAGCTCACCAAAACCCCCTTAAAAAACAAGTTTTCTTCCCAGATCTTAACAGTTTCATTCAGGGCAACCCCTTGACAATAAAAGACTTGCCAATGTGGGGAGTGATCCCGCAGATTTAGAGTTCTCTCAAGGCACACACCTTTAGACGAGACCCATCCGGCAGTCAGTTGGGGATAACCCATTTCTTCTGCCTCAAAACAGCCTTCCTTCAAGGCAACCCTCCACCATAATAAAAGATCTCCCCCTTTCCAATCCTGAGTTTTCTCAGAGGGCAAGCTCTTAACATCATTTAAGGGCCTGGTATGAGGCTGCTGCCATTTATGAACTGGAGAGTAACTTGGCATCTATGCCTGGGTTTCCTCGGATGTAAAATGGGCATCATAATACCTCCCTGAGTTATAATGTATGTAAAGCGCTTTCCTACAACAGGGCCCGGCTCAGAGGAAGCATCAGAGGCGTCATTATCTGCTTGAGGGTGAGAGGCTACAGCAGCCCTGGGATTGGGAGAGGGGGTCCCTTTCCAGCCACGCCAGGTATCTGGCACCCCACTCACCCACCCACCGCCAGTGGGGGCGGGGAGGGCGGTCCAGGTGTCCAGATGTGGGCTGTTAGGGAGCGAGACCAGGCAGGGCAGGCAGGTCACGGAGGAGAAATCCCCACCAGGCCTGTTGGTCTCCTCTCTCCATCTTGCTCGTGCGGATTTCCGTCTGTGGGGGTTTGTTTTTCCCTGCCTTTCTCCCTCCTTTTCTCTGTTTCTTTATGTGACACCCGCCGGCCCCCCAGTTCTTGCTCTGCATTTGTCTCTCTGGGACTGTCTCTCTCACGTCTTTTCCGTCTCTATCTCTCCACCTCTCTTCCTTTCCTTACCCTGTCTCTTCCTCTGTGTATGTCTCCTTGTGTGTGTCTCTCCCTTCCTCTGGGTGTCTCTGTGTGTGTGTGTGTGTGTCTCTCTTCGCGTCTCCCCATTTCTGTCTCTTTCTTTCTGCGCCTCTCCCCGCCCCCGTCCGTCTGTCTCACGCGCACGCCCTCTCGGCCTCTGCCCTTGTCAATCCCCCCGGGAGCCCTGCCCCCGCCTCCGTCCCAGTTCCCTTCTCCGCGCCTCAGTCTCCAGCCTGGAAAACTGGGCCGACACCCCCCACCCCACGCACTCTCCACGGGGTCGCGACCGCCCGCGGGCCCGGCTCAGGCGCGTCCCCGCCAGGGGCCAGGCGGAAGGGGACCAGTTCAGGGCCGGGCGGGCAGTGCCGGGGGCGCGCGTCCGGGAAGCGCCCCTCCTGGCCCCGCCTCCAGGCCCAGGCCACACCCCCCGGCGTCTATAAAAACCCCGGCCCCTCCAGCCCGCCGCAGCCTGGCTTCAGCGCTCCCACTCTCGGTGGACCCCTAAGCCGATCGGCCATTCGCGCCGCCATGGATCTCACCGCCATCTACGAGGTGAGCCCCTTCCGACCAGCCCCCCGGGGACCGCATGCCTGACTCCCCTCTCAAACTAGGGCTCCCTAGCGCCGCGAACTCCGGCCCGGGGTCCCTGCCTGCCTTCTCAGACCAGTATGCTTCTCTGGAGGTGAAAATGGAGCCCGCGACTTTTGGGTCTCGGCCCAAACATGGGGGGCTGCCCCTTGGAGCTGGGAGGCTGGAGGACTGTTCTCAGACTCGGGCTGTCTGGGGGCGGAAATGGCCCCACACCTGGCTTACCCCTAGTAGTTGCTGAGGGCGCGGTTTTGCGCGGAGGCGTTTCTGGGGCTAGAGTCTCGGGGTGAGGGGAAGCCGACCTCTGGCTCTCTGCTCCCGGACCCAGAGGATGACTCTGGGACCTCTAAAACCGAAGAGACCCGGACTCTTGGGGTAACTCTGCTCTCCTCCGGTTGCGAAATTGGAAACCCTGTTGCACGGGGTCAGATCCCGAGAGGCCCAGAGGCTCAAACTTGGAGGACAGTGGTGTGCCCTGACTTTGGGGTCCTCTCTTGATCCAGCCGGGGGAGCTGGGCTTCCCGGGCCCCTCGGGGTAGGCTGCAGTCGCGAATAAACAGGGCTCCCCGCGATCCGGAACCCCTGGGTTTCTGCGGGCGGGTGGGGCTCAGGCCGGGAACCCACAAACCGGACTGGCAAGCTCCTAAGTGCCTGGCAGTTGGGGCGGGGCGTCACCCTGCTTTTTCGGTGTCTTAACCGATCCCTGTTCCCGCAGAGCCTCCTGTCGCTGGGCCCTGACCTGCCATCCGACCACGGAGAGACGGAGCCCAGCCCGGCATGGGCCTCTTCGGGACTCTGGAGTCTCAGCTCGTCCGACCCCGGCTCTGCCGGGGTCGCCGCCCGCCTGCCTGGCCGCTCCACCAGCCTGGTGGAGGGTCGCAGCTGTGGCTGGGTGCCCCCACCCCCGGGCTTCGCACCCCTGGCTCCCCGCCCAGGCCCCGAGCTGTCGCCCTCGCCCACCTCGCCTACTGCGACCCCCACCACCTCATCCCGCTACAAGACTGAGCTATGTCGGACCTTCTCGGAGAGCGGGCGCTGCCGCTACGGGGCCAAGTGCCAGTTTGCCCATGGCCTGGGCGAGCTGCGCCAGGCCAGTCGCCACCCCAAATACAAGACGGAACTCTGCCACAAGTTCTACCTCCAGGGCCGCTGCCCCTACGGCTCGCGCTGCCACTTCATCCACAACCCCAGCGAGGACCTGGCCGCCCCGGGCCAACCCCATGTGCTGCGCCAGAGCATCAGCTTTTCAGGCCTGCCCTCAGGCCGCCGACCCTCGCCACCCCCAGCAGGCCTGGCGGGTCCCTCCCTGTCCTCATGTTCCTTCTCGCCTTCCAGCTCCCCACCACCACCAGCTGGGGACCTTCCACTGTCACCCTCTGCCTTCTCCGCTGCCCCTGGGACCCCTGTGGCCCGAAGGGACCCCACCCCGGCCTGTTGCCCCTCCTGCCGAAGGGCCACCCCCAGCAGCGTCTGGGGACCCTTGGGTGGCCTGGCTCGGAGCCCCTCTGCACACTCCCTGGGATCTGATCCCGACGAATATGCCAGCAGCGGCAGCAGCCTGGGGGGATCCGACTCACCCGTCTTCGAGGCCGGGGTGTTTGGGCCACCCCAGCCACCTGCAGCTCCCCGGCGACTGCCCATCTTCAATCGCATCTCTGTTTCTGAGTGACAAGTGCCTGCCCAGTACACATCAGCTGGATTCTTAAGGGGGGCCATTTCTCTTGTGCTGTGGGCTCCACAGGGGCCCTGGGGCTGTGGGGAACTGGGGACTCTTCATCAAGTAGCCCCCCCCATTTCCCAAGTGCATTAACCCACTCCCCTGACCCCACGCTGGGGCAGGTCCCCAGTGTGCAAGCTCGGTGTTCACGGTGTTGGGGGAACGAGTGTTTCCCGGATCCTTTAAAAACAAAATGTAGCAAATTAGAGGGAGGTAGTGAGCTCTCCCCCCCCTCCCCTGCCCAATGCTGTGAATAATAGCCCCCACCGCCCCCTCCCGATTTTTCCTATGGAGCCTCCCCCGAGGGGGAATCCTGGTGCTCAAATTTCCCTCCAAAAGCAAGTAGCCAAAGCCGTTGCCAACCCCCCAGCCGTTGGGCCCCCTATTTATGACGACTTTATTTATTCTAATAGATTTTATAGTATTTATATATATTGGGTCGTCTGCTTCCCTTGTATTTTTCTTCCTCCTTTTTGTAATATTGGAAACGATTGAATAATTATTGTTATAAGTATACTATAATAATATATTAAGTAATATATATTGCCAAAAGTTTATTTTTGTGTTTTTTGGAATTTTTAAATAAAAGGAATCTGTGTGCACACGGGAATCCTGGCTTTTCTGCGGGCCAGAGGCAGTGAGGAGGGGGGAGGGCGGTGTGAAGTTTCTAGAAGCGGGGGAGAGTCAACCCCGAGTTCCTCCGAAGCCGCCTGGAGCTGAGCCGCTCGCGGCGCTCACCTGGCAGGAAGTGACGTCACCGGGCCGGCCGTTCACCTGGGAGGACGGGGCCAGGTGAGGTCACCCGGCAGGAACCCGGAGAGCCAGTTCCCGGGGCGTGGGGGGCGCGGGCGGTCCCCTGCCGGACTCTGTGACCCGGGCGGGCGGGGACGGGATGTTTCCGTCCCCACGGGGCCGCGGGCGGCAGGCGGGGCGGCGGGAGGACGGAATGTGCCGGGGCGCGGGCCCAGCGCGGGCGGGCGGCCGGGCCGCGGGGGGGACGGGGGGGCGGCCCGGTTCCCGGACCCGCGAGTGGGGGGCTCGGACTCCCGGAATGCTGGGGGCGGCGGCGTTACAGCCTCAGCATTCCAGAATCGCGACGTTTCGGAATCGGGGTTACTCTGGGCGACTTGGAATTCTGCCCCCTGGGGTCGGAGACGGTGTAGGACTCGCAAAGTCGTGGCCGCCTGCTTCCCGGGCCCCCGGCCCTCGGAGTTCCAGAACTTTCGCCTCCCGGGACTCGCGACGCGCGGGCTCGCGGGGCCGGGGTGCGTGGGTCGCGGCGGGCGGGGCGGGGCCCGGGGAGCCGCGTCCTCGGACCATACAAGGCAAGAGGCGGCGGGCAGCACCCCGGGCCCGGAAGCCGCCCCGCGTCAGTCCCCGGCCCCGCCCCCCGCCGCCTCCCCCTCGACCCCTCTTCCTTCTCCCCCCGCTTTTTCCTCCCCTCCCCCTCCCACTTCCCCCTCCTCTCTCCCCCGGCCTCACCCCTCCTCCTGCTGCTTCTCAGTTCCTCCTCTCCTCCCCCTCCCCCTCTCAGCTCTTCCCCTCCCCCGGCACGCTTCTCCCCTTCCCTTTTTTAATACCCTTCCCTTCCAGCCCCCCATCCGCCTGTCCCTTACCCCCTCTTTCCTTCCAGTTTCCCTTCTCCCCTCTTCCTTCCCTCTCCACCCTTTCCCTGCTCTCTGTCCCCTCAGTTCCGCCTCCCTCCCCACCCCTCTGCCCCCTCCCCCGACCCATTCCCTTTTCCCCTCCAGCCCCTTCTCCTCCCCTCCTCTTGCGTCCTTGCTCTCTCCCTCGTCCTTAGCCCTCTCCCCTTGCCCACTGGCACGCGCTGATCTTTGATCTCTTCTTCCAGGAAACTGTCCCCCTTGGGGGAAAGGGCTCAGGTCCCCATATGTACAAGAGGGTTGAGAAAGAGAGAGAAACGCAGAGACCCAAAGACATGGGAGGCAGGGAACAGAAGCAAGCCATGCAGACATTGACAAACGCTGAAAGAACAAGAAACAGACATCTCTGGTTCTTGCCTTGGCAAAAACAAAAACCCCTCGTTTGAGAATATGGCACCTGCCACCAGCTACCGGCGCAAACACCTGGGAGTCCCCTTGTCTCCACTCTCTCAAACCCACCTCCCAGTCCAACAGCAGTCCTGTCTGATTCACCTTCTAAAAGGATCTACAATCCACCCTCCTGTCTCTTCTGGCTGCCACCCTGGTCCTATCCAGCATCATGTCCCACCCGAACCATCATGGCAGCCCCTCCCTGGGCTCCCAGCTCAGGTCCCTGCCCTCAGTCTCTCCCCACTCCCCCACCAGACAACCAGAGGGAACCTGTCATGACACCTGAGTCAGACCACATAACAGCCAAAGTCCTAAGTCCTCACAGCCTACAGGGACTGGCTCTAATCTTTGGTCACTCTTGCCCTCGTCACACTGGCTTCCTATCCACTTCACCAATACATCTGACATGCTTCAGCCACAAGGCTTTTGCACTGGCTGTTTCCTCTGCCTGGAATGCTCCCCCAGGTAGCCCCATAGCTCACTCCCCTCCTTCAGGTCTCTCCAATGTGTCCTGAGTGAGATGGTCCCTGACTACTCTTATTGCAACCCACACCCCACCTCCCACTCTCCCATCCTCTCCACGGTGCTATATTTTTTCCATGACGTTTATCACCACCTAACATATAAAATGTAGTTAGTTCTTACGTTTATAGCAGTCTGCCTCCCCTCACTAGGATGTCACGTCATCAGGGGCAGAGAATTTGTCTTGTTCACTGCTGTATCATCCACCAGTCACATAGTGGATGTTCAGTAAACAAATTGATTCAGAAACGGAAAGAGAAAGTTAAAATTCCAAGACACAAGAAAAAAAAAAAGAAATTAGTAACTATGTGAGGTGATTGATGTTGATATTAACTAAACTTATTGTGATAATCATTTCACAATTTATACATGTATCAAATCATTATGTTGTACACCTTGGATTAATACAATGTTCTATGGCAATTATATCTCAATGAAACTGGAAGAAAAATCCAAGACAGAGAAAGAGGCAGTGCCATACCGTTTGCGGAGGATCCACAACGTGACACATCTACAGAAGTCTTCAACTGAGATTTGTAGACCCAATTGAATGCCCAGGCATCTGAGAAGCGATACCACCCTCTGGCGGCCAGAATAAAAACGGCACCTCCCCATAACAGAACACTCGCTCTCTAACCGACCGTCGCCAGAGTCCCGGGAGCCTTGACAGCTCGAAAATTCCCGAGATCGAAATGTTCATTTCTCTAAGTGATGTATGTTTGGGTTGATTTATAAGATGCATAAATTTATAAAAGCTGATAAGAAAAAACTAAAGTGCTCCAGGTGAGGATCGAACTCACAACCTCGGCATTGCTCCGCTCGCACTGTCATATAAGTACCGCGCGCTAACCGATTGCGCCACTGGAGCTCCGGCCGCACCCTTGCGCCGCCGGGTCCTTCAGTCATTCTCGGCCACGTGATCTCGTCGGACAGCTCCCGCCTTGTACTGCATATGCAAATAGGAACCTTTTGGTTGGCCAGTAGGAGAAAGCGCGTTACCAGTTCCGGATTCTCACGCCTCCAAAGCGCTTGCTGTAAAAGGGAAAAGTCGGCGAGGCGTGTGGAATGTGGGGGTGTGGCCTGTCTGGGACTCGCCTTCTTATGAATATTCATAATCCGGGGTGGGGGGGGTGTCTTAACCCTTCGCTAGCCGGGGGCCGGAAGGCGGCCCCTCCCCCCGCGGGCGGGAACAGGATATGAGCATGGGCGGCTGGGGGGAGGGGAAGCCCCAGGCGACCGCCCCCCGCCCCACAGCTGGGACCGGACTCTCCCGCCACCCCATGTGGCGCCACCGCCGCCGCCGGAGCTCCGTGCTACCCATCCCGGAGCCTGAGGGGTCCAGAGTCGCGGACTCCGGCATCCCGAATCTCTGCACCGCGTCCTGAGAGACCCTGAAGCCCAGGCCCCCGCGGCCAGGCTGGAGGACCCCAAACATCCAGGTGCCCAGCGCCCCCTCCTGGAGGAGCCGGGAGTCCAGGACATCAGCCCTGCGCGACCCTGGAGGCCGAGCTTCCTGCCCCCTAGTCTGAAGAACTTATGATCCCAGACCGGACATTCCCTCCAGGGTTCCCAGAAATCCGAGCCCAGGACTCCCGGGGGTTGGAGGAACTTAGGATACGGACTCCGAGCCAGTCTGTTCTGGGCTGAAGCGCCCACTACTTCAAGGGGACCCAGGAATTTGGGACTCCCCGGCGCTCCCGTCTGGAGGTGATTTAATCCTTGCTCCTAGAGTTAGGGGAACTCAGGAATCCGGGCCCCCCACGGCCCCATCTAGAAGACTCAGGAATTTGGGTCCCCGGCACCCCCATCTGAGACTCAAGAGTCGAGGCTCCCAGCATCCCCCATTTAGAGAACCAAGAAATTCGGACCGCTGCACCCCATTCTCTGGGAGACCCCGGATTCTGACTCCCGGAGCCTGAGAGCCCGAAGTTCACGCCCCTGACTTGCAGAGACCCAGGGGTCCCGGCTCGGCGCCTCCCCGGAGACCGTGCTAGAGTCGAATAGGAACCGGGTGGCCTCGGTTCGGGGCTGGAGACTCCCCGGGAGGTGAGGGGGGAGGCGAGGGGCCCCGACGGGCTGGGGGAGGGGGCGGCGCCGCTGCCGCTGAACAATGAGGGGGCGTGCCGGCGGGGGGCGAGCGGAGGCGCCGGCGGGAGTTGGGGGCCGGCGGGGTGTGGGGAGGCGCTGGGGACCCGGGCTGCGGCCGTGGGGGCGGTGGGGGCGGTGAGCGGATCGCGGAGGGACTGGCCGAAGGGAAGTCGAGGGCGCAGGGCCAGTGCCCCAAGTCGCAGCCCTCGGCGGGGGAGGGAGCCGTCTGCAGGACCCTGGCATCCGGTCCCCCAGCCTCCTCCGCCCTCCCCTGGGACCCCGCGGCCTCCCGCCCACGGCTTTTCCCAGCCCTGCCCCTCGGCTTCGGCTCCAGCCAGAGCCCGAACGTTCCCAGGATCCCTGAGCCTCCGGCCCCAGACAGACCAGACTCAGCTTCGCGACTCTTGCTCTCTTGGCTCTTCTTTGTCTCAACCTCTCCATCTTTTTCTGTGTTATCTCGGCTTGATCCTCTCTTTCTGTCACTTTGCCTCTGTCTTCCTAATTGGTTACTCCTCGGGGCCCCTCCCCGGGTTTAGACCACACTCCTAATCCTCAGCGCCCCATCTGGGAGTGTGGGCGGCAGGGAGGCCTATGGGGGCCTGATACCCAAGAGGGGGGTCTCTCTGCAGACGCCGCTGAGCCGCTCAGCCATGCCCGAGGGAGCCCGTGGACTGAGCCTGGCCAAACACAGCCCTAGCCTTGGCGGTGGCCGCAGAGGTGAAGTGTGTGACTGTGCAACTGTGTGTGACACTCGGACAGGTGAGTGTGCAAGGGGGGGAGCGGAGCCTGCTGGGCATTCAGTCTTTCATTCAAGACACTGTGCAGTTCTCTGTGGCTGGCCCAGGGCTGGGCAATGCCAGCAACACAGGGTGACCAAGACAGCGCCAGCCCTGCCTGCCAGAACTCCAGGTCTGGTGGGGGAGACGGACCCATGCACAGATGGTGACAGTCCAGAAGAGAAAGCCCAGGGTAGTGTGGTCAGGGCTGGGATGAAGCCCAGGGAGCTGTGGGAGCCCAGTCTGGGAGGTCAGGGGAGGCCTCCTGGAGGAGGGCGCATTTAAACTGAGAATTCAAAGATTAGGAGGAATGAGTTGGGAAAGGCAAGGAAAAGTATTCCACACTGAGGGAACAGTATGTGCAAAGGCTCAGAGGTCAGAGGAGGATGCTTATTAAAGTAACTGAAAGAAGCTGAGTGTGAATGGAGTGTAAGAAGTGGTGTGGCTGTGGGAAAAGAACAGACTGGAAAGGTCTCTAATGGTCACCTTGCACAGGGCACTGTGGATCTGAGTTTGGACTTCATCTTGAGGGCACAAAGGGGTTAAACTCTTGGGAGTGGCAGGGTCAGAGGGGCAAGTTAATAAAGATCTTCCAGGCTGACACATAGAGGTGGATTAGGAGTAGAGGACCAAAGCCTAGAGAGGACCCTGATGGGAGAGGACAGGACTGGACCAATACAGCGCACTGGGGAGAGGAGAAGGGGGCCCCTGGGAAAGATGTTGACCGGGTGTAGGTGAATGTGGGGCTGAGAGCACTCAGTTGGGGAGACACCTGACCTCCTGCTCTGTCCCCCCAGGAGCTCCCGTGACCCCTGCCATGGCCTCCCCCCGAGGTTCTGGGAGCTCTACATCCCTGAGCACAGTGGGATCCGAGGGGGACCCGGCCCCAGGGCCTGCCCCAGCCTGTTCAGCCTCCAGGCCAGAGCCCCTTCCAGGGCCCCCTATCAGTCTGCATCTGTCACCCGTGGGGACCCCGAGTTCAGCAAAACCCTCGAGGCTGGAGCGTGTGGCCCGTGAGATCGTGGAGACGGAGCGGGCCTACGTCCGGGACCTCCGCAGCATTGTCGAGGTGAGGCTGGCGGGCACCCAAGCACGGTGGGGACCCAGGCCAGCCCCTCCACTCTGTAACCCAGTCATCCCCACAGGACTACCTGGGCCCTCTGCTGGATGGCGGGGTCCTGGGGCTGAGCTCGGAGCAGGTGGGCACGCTGTTTGCCAACATCGAGGACATCTACGAGTTCAGCAGGTCAGGAGCGGGTAGGATAGGCTGGGGTGCTGGCTGGTGGGGTTTGGGGAGGCAGGCTATGTCCTAACCCAACCTTGGAGCCCCGTAGTGCCTTGTCTAGGCTGGTACGTGGAGTCTTGTGACAGTGGGCAGGTATCTTGATGGGGAGCCAGGACCCCGAGTTGTGGAGGAGCCAGGTGGACAGGCACCTGAGGACCTGGCTCAGGTCCAGGTATTCGGACGGTTCCAGGCACTGGGATGGGTCTCAGCGCTGTGTCAGGCCTGGGGTCACGATGGCTCGTGTGGGGCCTGAAGATCATGACGGCCCCAGACAAACAGGATGCTTGGCCACCGGTGAGGAGCATGCTCCAGTCCAGGGATCATGACACCTCTGAGTGTCTTGACGAGATCTTAAGATTACTGCAGGAGATCTGAGAGTCGTCACAAGATCTCGGGGTCACAGCCCTGAGGATCATGACAGCCCTCTCTCTGGGTCGTGACATGAGACCCCCAGACTCAGAGCAGCTGTGAGAAGATTTCAGGCTGAGGAGCGAGACGTTGTCCAAGGAGAAAGTCTGATCAGGTTGCAGTCTCCCATGTAGCGATCAGAGGACCCTTCCTCTGGACGTGACGTCCCCTTGAGAGGTCCTGGCAGCCACCAAGCCCCCAGCCTCTTGGAGTCCTGCCATGGGGGGACGGGCTGTGGGACAGGGTGGCCCTCACCCTTCCTGTCTCCCCTGTAGCGAGCTCCTGGAGGACCTGGAGGGCAGCAGCAGTGCAGGGGGCATAGCCGAGTGCTTCGTGCAGAGGGTGAGTCGAGGGTGGGGGCTCTCAGTCTGTGCTGGGGCCTGTGTAAGCTGGGAGCAGGCCTGGGCAGGGCTGGAGGACTGGAGGTCTCCCTGACTCCCGTGTCGCCCGCAGAGCGAGGATTTTGACATCTACACGTTGTACTGCATGAACTACCCGAGGTGAGGGGCGAGGAGCCCCTGCCGGCCCCCGGGCCGTGCCCACCACTGATGTGCCAGCCAACCTCCCTCCTCCCCACCCGTCCAGCTCTACCCCTGCCAGACCGCGACAGTAACTGACCTCTCCGTAACCCACCCTGACCCCTGCCAGCCCCCGTCTCTGAGCCCCGGCCCCTCCCCGCCCTCCCACCGGCGCTGCCAGCCCCCTGACCTGTGCTGTGCCCACAGCTCCCTGGCCCTGCTCCGGGAGCTGTCGCTGTCTCCGCCGGCAGCCCTGTGGCTGCAGGAGCGCCAGGCCCAGCTGCAGCACTCGCTGCCCCTGCAGAGTTTCCTGCTGAAGCCCGTTCAGCGCATCCTCAAGTACCACCTGCTCCTGCAGGTCCGCGGTGGCCCTGGGGCTGCTTGGGGAGGGGCGGGGTCCTCCTGTCCATGGACCGCCTGGAGGGTGGATCCGAGGGGGCGAGCGGCTGCTCTTTCTCTTCTCGCGGATGCTGCTCGTGGCCAAGCGCCGGGGGCCGGAGTACACCTACAAGGGCCACATCTTCGTGAGCTGTGGATCCTGGAGAGGCGTCCAGGCCCTAGAGGCTGGGCCAGCACTCGGGGTGGGATCTTGCTGGCAGTGGGGACAGGCACCCACTGATTCCACTTTCTGTCTCTGCCTGTGTCTCTCTACCTTGGGTCTCCATCTCTGCCTCTGCCTTTATGTATTTCCCTGTCTCTTCCCATCTTCATCCTTTCTCCTTCTGTTCCTCGTCCCCTCCTGGCTGCCCCCTGGCTGCCTGGCAGGAGCTAGGGAAGCACTGGGCGGAGGGTCCGGGCGCCGGGGGCCGCGAGACGGTGGAGGAGGCTATCGTGTCCATGACAGCGGTCGCCTGGTACATCAACGACATGAAGCGCAAGCAGGAGCACGCCGCGCGCCTCCAGGTGACCCCAGGGCGGCACGCGGGCCTCCGGGGAGGGTGGTCGGCGCTTCAGAGGCGGCCTCGGAGGGTGGGCTCGGGCAGCACGGCCCGGCGGCTAACCTGCGTCCTGGTGTGTGTGTGCCGCCCACCGGTGGGGTCCCCGCAGGAAGTGCAGCGGCGGCTGGGCGGCTGGACCGGCCCGGAGCTCAGTGCTTTCGGGGAGCTGGTGCTGGAGGGCGCGTTCCGAGGGGGCGGAGGAGGCGGCCCCCGACTCCGAGGGGGCGAGCGGCTGCTCTTTCTCTTCTCGCGGATGCTGCTCGTGGCCAAGCGCCGGGGGCCGGAGTACACCTACAAGGGCCACATCTTCGTGAGTCCGGGGATGGGGGCACGGCCAGAGTGTTACCTGTGAGGTATATTCTATATGCCTGTACTTGTGCACCCACAGGGGTGGCTGGGTGCTGGGTGTGCAAGGAGGGGCAACCCCGCTTAAGACGGCCGCGTCTTCTTGAGTCTGAGGATGGGAGCAAGGTTTAATGAGGAGGGGTGAGGCCAGCAGGATGCAGAGGTGAGGGCCTGGAGGGCAAGCATCTTCATGGGGGGAGCACATCTTCTTGATCCAGATGAGGGTGAGGAGGGGCTGGCGAGGGAGAGCAGAGCCCCAGCCTGATGGGGCACATCTTTCTGGCGGGGGGACCCAGACACACACACGGGGCACGTGGCTGAGTCTGAGGGCTCTGAGCGTGCCGCCCCTCTGCCCCCTCACCCAGTGCTGCAACCTGAGCGTGAGCGAGAGTCCTCGGGACCCTCTGGGGTTCAAGGTGTCCGACCTGACCATTCCCAAACACAGGCACCTGCTCCAGGTGAGCACGGGGTGGGGCAGGGCGGGCAGGGTCCCCCCAGCCCCTAGACCTCACCCCTGGCTCCCAACTCCACCCCTCCCCCCAACCCCAGGCCAAGAACCAAGAAGAGAAGAGGCTGTGGATCCACTGTCTCCAGCGCCTCTTCTTTGAGAACCACCCTGCCTCCATCCCGGCCAAGGTACAGCCGGGCGCCCTCAGAGTGCTGGAGAGACCCCCCCTTAGTACTGAAGACCCTGAGTGCGGGGGACTCGCTTAGGACGTGAGAGTTAATTGCAGAGTTAGGCTGCCTGGGTTTGAACCCCGGCTTCTCCACATCCCTGCTTTGTGACTTTGGGCAAGTAACTTAACCTCTCTGGCCTCAGTTTCCTCACCTGGAGGAGTAATACCACTGACCTCACAGGGTTGCGGTGAGAATTAACTGTCATCAGTCATGTCACGTGCCTGCCACATAGCAGCAGCTGTCAATGGGACTCTGACTGGGGTGCTCAGAGATCAGCCTCCTCAACCCTCATCCTTGTCTCTTTCAGGCAAAACAAGTTCTCCTTGAAAACAGCCTGCACTGTGAGTTGGGGCCTTGGGTTGGGAGGATGTGGAAGTAAGAGGAATTACTTTCAAGAAAAAGTAGATTATTAGCCCCCACATCTCTCCCCACAGGTGCTCCTAAAAGTAAGCCTGTCCCAGAGCCCCTGACACCCCCACTTGGATCTCCCCGACCCCGCGATGCTAGAAATTTCACTCCTGGACGAAGGAACACAGGTAAAGGAGATGGAACCATGAGCCCCACCCCTCCACTTCTCCCCTGGGACTCAGGGATTATTCTCCCGGCCCCCTGCTCCCCCAGGAGCCTGGAGCTGGGTGCATAACAGGGTCTGATCTGCCTCTCCCACAGCTCCGTCTCCAGGACCCCCCCCAACCCGCCGTGGCCGCAGACAGTCTGGTGAGCACCCAGCATCTCAAAGTGAACGAGGGGTGGGAGTGGGAGCCGGGCCTCTGACATCACTGTCCTCCCCCCAGAGCCAGTGAAGGACCCTTATGTCATGTTTCAACAGAATGGTAAGTGACTGCCCCAGCCCAGCTTGGTCCATCCCTGTCTGTCTGTCTGTCTCTCCCCATGGGTGCCCAGTGTTCCTCAGGGAGGGGCGATGGGGCAGCTCATCAGTTAGGAGTAACACTTGTTCCTACATCTCACTCCTGTCTCTTCCTCATCTCTGCATCCCCAGCTAAGCCGAGACTCAAGGTAAGAAATATTCTGGGACAGGGGCTGGGGACCTGGGCTCCTGGGGCTGATGGAGGAGGAAGCTTGAGTTCCAGCATCCTGGGTTTGAATGAAAAGGGGCTGGGGGTTGGATTCCTCCATCTGAGGGAGGAAGGGGCTGGGGTACAGACTCCTGCGTCTGGGAGAAGAGGGGGCTGGGGGCGCTCGGCTCTTGCCCTCCATCCTTTCCTTCCTCACAGCATGCTGGCAGTGAGGGGGAGCTCTACCCGCCCTTAGAGCCTCAGCCACCAGTTCCAGCTTCTGGACCCCCTGAGGACCTGGAGGACACTGGACCCCCCACGTTGGACCCGTCTGGGACCTCAATCACTGAAGAAATCCTGGAATTGCTGAACCAAAGAGGCCTCCGGGATCCGGGGGTGAGCCGGGCATCCATCACCGTGTCCTCGGGGCTCTCGGCTTGGGCAGGCACAGACTGGGGGTCAGGGGGCTAACCCACCCTGAGACCTCTGGCCTCTTCCCTGGTGCCCACTATAGCCATCCCCCCACGACATTCCCGAGTTCCCCGGAGACTCCCAGGTGCCGAGCGACAGCGAAAGCCTCACATTCCAAGTCCTGCCCAGCCGGGACTCTTCAGAAGAGGAGGAGGAGGAAGAGCTGGAGATGGGCGAACGGGGACCTTCCCCGCTACACGTCCTAGAAGGGCTCGAAAGTTCCAGTGCGGCTGAGATTCCCGACATTCCCTGCCTTCCCCAAAATCCTGAGGTTCCCAACCTCCCTGAAATTCCCGGCCTCTCTGAAATTCCCATAATTCCCCGCCTTCCCAGTCTCTCTGACATCTCCAGTGTTTTTGAAATGCCCTGCCTTCCAGCCATACCCAGTGTCCCTGACATTCCTCGTCTTCCCGACGCTCCCACCCTTCCCTGTGACTCCTGGCTGCAGGGACCTCTGCGGGAGCCAGCTAAGGCTCTAGCCACCAGGAGAGAACTGTTCCCTGGGAGCAGTTCTGGAAAACTGGGAGAGCCCTCTTCAGGACGCAGGGCAGGCCACGAGAAGGATGAAGAAGGGGTATCATTCCCAGCTTTCCAGCCCCAGGACATCCCCCAAGATCAGAGATTCCCAGATGAGCTGGAATTTCGCTCTTGCTCAGAAATCCGGAGCGCCTGGCGGGCCCTGGAGCAGGGGCAGCTGGCCCGGCCGGGCTTCCCAGAGCCGTTGCTGATCCTAGAAGATTCGGATCTGGGTGGAGGCAGCGGCAGTGGGAAGGCAGCAGCCCCGAGTTCGGAGAGGGCCGCGTCCCGCGTGCGTGAGTTGGCCCGGCTTTACAGCGAGCGGGTCCAGCAGATGCAGCGGGCTGAGACCCGCGCGTCGGCCAACGCCCCCCGCCGCCGGCCGCGGGCTCTGGCGCAGCCGCAGCTGTCCCCCTGCCTGCCCCAAGAGCAGGCCGAGCCAGGTGAGGTCCGGGTATGTGGTCGGCAGAGTGGCCCGCGCTGGGGCATCAGGCCTGACATGCTCCTCTCTTTGCATACAGGGCCTCTGCCTGCCTTTGGACACATGCTGGTATGTGAGCTGGCCTTCCCGCTGACCTGTGCCCAGGAGTCTGTCTCCTTGGGCCCTGCTGCCCGGGTTCAAGCTGCCACACCTTTGTCTAAGCAGGAAAGCTGTCTGGATGGCCAGAGTCTAAATGTTTCAAATTTGCCTGAGCAAAACCGTCTGGGCATCCAGGTTGCAGCTGCTACCCCTTTGCCTGAGCAAGGAGGCCTTGGGAATATCCAGAGTCCAGCCACCACACCTCTACCCAAGCAGGAAGGCCCCCTAAACGTCCAGGTTCCAGCTGTTACAACTCTGCCTGATCAAGAAGGCCCCCAAGAAATTCCAGTTCCAGTGACCACTCCTTTGCCTGAGCACAGAGGCCCCGTGGAGTCACAGGTTCCCTCTACTGCCCCTTTTCCTGAGCAAGGACACCACGTGGACATCCAAGTTCCAACCGCCCCAGCTTTGCCCGAGCAGGGAAGTGGTTCTCATGTCATGGTTTTAGCCACCACTCCTGTGCCCAAGCAAGAAGGCCACCTAGACAGCCAGAGCCCACCCAGCACGCCATTAACTAAGCAAGGAGGTTCCGGGGATGTTCACTGCCCGGCCGCTGCCTGCGACCAAGCTGTCAGCCCTTTGCTTGTGCACGGAAGCAGCCTGGACCATCAGATCCCAGCCGACACCCCACTGCTCTTGCAGCGTGACCGTCCAGACATTCAGGTTCCGGGTTCCTCACCTTCGTCTGCACATGGAGGCCACCTAGACCGTCAGATCCCAGGCAGTGGTGCTCCATCGTCTTTGCCCCAGGACCTCCCGGACATTAAGGTTCCAGCTGCCACACCTTTGCCCCAGCCACAAGGCCTCGCGGATACCCGGATCCAAGCCCTCCCACCTTTGCCCAACCAAGGAGGCCTCCCAGACACGCAGGGTCCAGCTGCTGCATCGTCGCTTCAGGAGCAAAGGCTCACAGACCTCCAGGTGCAAAGGTTGACCCTTTTGTTGGAGCAGAAGAGCTTCACTAACGTTCACGTTCCAGCTGCCACACCTGTGCCTGAGCAAGGAGGCTCTCGGGACATTCAGGGCCTGTTACCCACCCCAGTTCAGACCACCATGGTTTTGTCCAAACCAGGAGGCCACTCGGTCTCTCATGTCACCAGGTCAGAGTCTTCAGACTTGACCCCACCCCATAGTCCCCCACCCCCAACCCGTCAGCTCCTGGGCCCCAACGCAGCTGCCCTCTCAAGGTACCTGGCAGCCTCATACATCAGCCAGAGCCTGGCTCGGCGTCAAGGGCCTGGGGGAGATGCCCCCCTAGCCTCCCGGGGTCCCTGGTCCTCCTCTGCGCCCACATCACGGGCACCTTCACCGCCACCCCAACCCCAACCCCCACCACCCCCCGCCAGGAGGCTCAGCTATGCCACCACGGTCAACATCCATGTCGGGGGCGGCGGGCGGCTGCGGCCAGCCAAGGCCCAGGTCAGGTTGAACCACCCTGCCCTCTTGGCCCCCACACAGGAATCTGTGGCCCTTCGCAGGGCCCAGGGGGCTCCTGATGCCCCTTTCCACATGTGAGCCAGGATGTCAGGCTTCTTGAAAAGCAAAGACTTCAGCCAGATGCTACAGATGCTCAGAACTTCACCCAGAAGTCCAGACACTGAACACAGGTCTAAAGATTGCTGCAGCTTTCCAGCTCCTGGGAAATGGTCCTTATTACTTACCTTGATTAACTCACCAGGGATCGGGAAGGGGATGTCATTAATATTTTGTTAATTAATATTATGAAATTATGTATCTTTTCCTATTCTGGAAGCATTGGGGGATCACAGAAGACAATGAATGGGAAGGTCTGACAGCATGAATCAGTGGTTCTGAAGATTTGGGGAATCTCAAACTCCTTTGAGAATTACTAGAAACTGGACCCATTGCAATTTGATTGTATGATTTCAGAGAGTTTATGAACCCCCTGATGCCCATCCAGGAAAGCCAGGTTAAGAAGCTTTGTTCCAAAGAGACCCCTAGAAATTAATTCCCTTAGCAATTCATCCAGTTCACGTGTTCCACCACCATCCATTCATCTCATCCACTCAGCCATCTCTATGTTGATCCATCCGGCTGTCTCTCCATCTCTCTCCCCCTCTCTGTCCATCTATTTATCCATCTTCCAACCCATTATCCTACCCACATGCCTTGCTTCATTCAACCATCTCTATCCTATTCATCCATCTGGCCATTATCCTACCCCCCATCTAGCATCCATTCCTCCATGAATCCAGTCATCCATTATTCCACCTGTACATCTCCATCCAACCCTCTCTATTCATCCATCTGTCCCTCCATATTTCCATCTTTCCATTCATCCAAACGTCTCACTCACTCAGCCATCTCATCCATCAAGCCAGCCAGCCGTCTAATCATCTACCGCCATCCAGCCAACCATTGAAATATCCATCCATCACTCCTTAATTGAATTCTGGGTGTCAGTCCTGCGAAACTTCAGAGACAATTCCATGCTAACACCAGAGCAGATCAGGTTTGGGATTCTGGGAACAGTCCGTCCCACATCTGCCTGATTTCTCTTGGCAACCACTCCCCACCCTCATGAATGTTCTAATTCTTGTGCCCACCCACCCACATCAGATCCCTTTCCTGCTCTCTAGCTTGGGACCTCTACAGTGCCTCAGTGTGCCCCCACCTCCCCCCCAAAAAAATTCGGGTCTTGGGGCTGGCCAGGTGGCATAGTGGTCAAGTTCACATGCTCTGCTTCGGCGGCACAGGGTTCATGGGTTCAGATCACAGATGCGGACATACCACTTGTCAAGCCATGCTGTGGCAGCGTCCCATATACAAAAGTAGAGGAACATGGGCACAGATGTTAGCTCAGGGACAATCTTCCTCAGCAAAAAGAGGAGGATTGGCAACGGATGTTAGCTCAGGGACAATCTTCCTCAGCAAAAAAAAAAAAAAAAAAAAATTCAGGTTGTAGAGACATTGGCTTTTATATTAGGATCATTCTGCCCCCTCCCAGCAGTGGTATGCCCAGTGAGAAGCATAATTTAAGCAGTTTCTTTCATAATACTAGCTTCTTTCATTGGACACAATCCCTTCTGCTTTAGCACATTATCTTATTTGATCTTCCCTGGAATTCTGAGGCACCAGTGTCACGGCTGAGTTCAAGTCCAGGCTGTTCTAGTTCCATGGTGTGTAACCCCTGTGCGCCTGGGTTTTCTCATCTGGACAGCAAGGACAACAGTACCTGCCTCGTAGGATCATGGTAAGGATTCTGTGAGTGTACCCTCACTTCCCAGTGTGGTAGAGCCTCTGACTCGGACTCACCAGGGCGTTGTTCAAATCACAGATCCCCCAGGACCACGTCCCACCATGGAATCAGAGCCTCCAGGCTCCTGCCTAGGAATCTAAAGTTTTAACAGTCAGCTATCGACAGCAGAAAAAGCGGAGATTTATTGAATACTAACTGCATACCATGGGCATTCGTCACTTTATATGAGCTCATTCGCGGAGTCCTCACAACATCCGTAAAAGGCAAGAGGATGGTTTTGAATCCCCACTTTAGAGATGAGGAAACTGAGGCACAGAGAGGATAAGGGACTTGCTTAGTCACACAGCTAGGAAGGGGCAGAGCTGGGACTCACATCCACAGAGCCTGGCCTGAGTCCATACTCTTTACTTGTCAAGTGCCTCTCCTGTGCCAGCCACTGCCCTTGCCATGGGGGCACACAGGAAACACCTCCTGGCCCGTGTGAGGCCTGCAGCCTGGGGCTCCAAGGGCCCTAGGTGATGATCGCTGGCTGAGGAACAAGGCCTGGCTCAATCAATGTTAGCTGCCGCTCGCCTTCAGTTCTTTCCTGAATGGTTACGGTGCCACACACCAGGGCCTGGCCTGCTCCACTGCAGCCTCCCCAGCATCAGCGCTGAGGCTGGCCCTCCCCTCCTCTGCCCCAGCTGCACATTCCCAGCCACCCCCAGCTGCACATTCCCAGCTGAAGGAAAGTTCCCAGCCTGGCCTGGGCTCCCAGCAGCGCCGGAATTCCCGGTATTTGAGGAGGCGGCAGGGAGGGAGAAGGGGGCAGGCTACTCAAAGGCCTGGGGCAGGGAAGGAGAGGTGAGCCCCCTCCGTCTCTCCAGATATGTCCCAGCTGTGCCTCTGGGAGGGAGCCAGCAGCCTTAACAAGGGGGTCTCCGGCCCGTGTGGGAAAACCACGGGCACTGGGCTTGCCGCTGCCCCTCCTCCCGGTTCCCCGCCCTGAATTCCACTCCCCCCGCCTGCCCAACTCCTACCTCTGCTTCACCGCCCCAGCTCCGCCGCCTCCTCAGGAATAGCCCCCTTGCTACTCGAGCCTGCCTGTTGTAAGCCGTCTTCTTTACAGCTACAGCGGAGTCGGGCTCAGAAGGGGTAAGGGCGGTTGCCCGCTGCCTTCCTTGGGATACTGCTGCCCCCTTTGGGATGTTTAGGTTAATGCCAGCCAGACCCAGGTAACCCAAGTGAACTCCAGCTTGGAGGCAGAGCTGTGTGAGCAGCAGTTCCTTTGCCATGAGGCTGCTTCTCTCAACTGCTGACAAGACACCTGCCACTCACCCACCGCACAGGGATGTTGTGAAGGTGTGTCCAACAGCGCTCAGCCCGGCACCCAGCTGAGCTCAATCCACCACTGTCCTCGTCTAAGAAGCACTTTATTGTATGTATTCCCTGTTTATCAGTGCGTCCCCCAGAACCTCCCCTGATGATGGCATGTTCTCTCATCTGTGCAGCCCAGCTTGGGGGCCACACATGGCTACCGTACTGGACAGGGAAGAAATATACAACAGCAGCAACTAGACAGCAAGCCTCAAGTTCCTTCTTTTATGCAGAAAATTTGCGGAGGCGGCCCGGTGGTGTAGTGGTCAAGTTTGTGCACTCCACTTTGGCAGCCCGAGGTTTGCAGGCTCTGATCCTTGGTGCAGACCTACACACGACTCATCAAGCCATGCCGTGGCAGCGTCCCACATAAAAAGTAGAGGAAGACTGGCACAGATGTTCGCTCACGGCCAATCTTCCTCACCAAAAAAAAAAAAAAAAAAAATTGTGAAACTTTCCCCTCAGTCAACTTTCAAGTGCAGTGTGATGTTCTCACCAGTACCCAAAGCAGGGGGAGCAGTGTGGGACTCCAGTGGAGGGCAGACAGCTGAGGTACCCAGTTGGCTGCACAGGCTGGTATGGAAGCAGAGATGCCCTTTCCACCCCAATGAAGCTTACTAGCTTCCTATAAAAATGGGGGGAAAACTGCGGGCAACTTAATCCAACAAGCAACACTTTACTTCCCTATATATATACCAGCACTCTCCCACAGAACTTTAACGATAGCAATGTTCTCTCATCTGTGTAGTCCAACGGTAGCAACCGAGAGCCCACCATACACTGGCTTTTATTACACGGCAGGCACAACAGATGAAAAAGTCCTCAGACGCATGTTTTGAGCCCCAAAAGGACAGTTAACACATTGAGTTTAACTGGGACCTCCTTTAAGGAGGTGATGGGGTGGCCCTTCCCCAGGAGGTGGTGTTGGCATCCTGAAGGATGAAGCCAGTCGAGGGAAATCCCACCCCCTGTGGGGGTTACGAGCCCTTCCCCCCCAGATCTCAATCCTGTCTACACTATACGCTGGCATTAAGAAGAATTCCTTTCTCAATTCTGGCACAGCCCTTAGTCGCTGACTTCAAACTCCACCCAGGCACTTTCTCCTCGCTTTCCTCGTATTAGAGATCACCGATCTTACAAATATCCCCTGCTCGTCTCTCACATGCCATTAAAACAACAGCAAAGGGCCCGCCCTGTGGCTTAGCGGTTAAGCGTGCACGCGCTCCGCTACTGGCAGCCCAGGTTCGGATCCCGGGCGTGCACCGACGCACCGCTTCTCCGGCCATGCTGGGGCCGCATCCCAAATATAGCAACTAGAAGAATGTGCAACTATGACATACAACTATCTACTGGGGCTTTGGGGGAAAAAAAAAAAAGGAGGAAGATTAGCAATAGATGTTAGCTCAGAGCTGATCTTCCTCACAAAAAAAATTAAAAAAAATAAATAAATAAAACAGCAGCAAAGGGACTCAAAACAAAGACAAGCTCACAAGGACACCCGACACAACCAGTGGCCTAGGACCACGCCCACTTCAGCTCCACCTGCACAATGGATTCCACCAGAGGTGCAGGGAGACTGAGACCAGACCTGCTCCCACCTGCTGCTCCTACCCATTCACACTAACCCCAGAGTGGTGGCTTCTGGAAAGGCTTAAAATCCAGACGGGCTGGGGGAGTTTCTCGCATTCCTTTTAGTCAAAGACCCACCACAGAAGACCACAGCACAGTCCTTAGAACCTTACATCCCACAACCAGTTTATTATAAAGGTGAACCCCGATCCTCCAGATGAGCTTATCGGTAGGATTTCTGGTAGCGGGCACGGGCACCAGGACCTCCAAACTTTTTGGATTCGCAGCGACGGGGATCAGCTACCAGCAGGGTCCGGTCATACTGGATGAGGATGTCTTTGATCTCCTTCTTGGAAGCCTCATCCACATCTGGGGATGAGAGGAAGGGTGGCGATTTAGATGACCATGGAAGCATCCTCCTACTGTCTAGGACTAAATGCCAAAGCTGGTCCTCGACTTGCCCCACCCACCCACCCACCCGACAGAGGACCCACTCTTACTCACATTTCTGGTAATAGGCCACCAGGGCTTTGGAGATGGACTGGCGGATTGCTGTGACAAAGACACACACAAAAAAGGGCACATCACCTTTGAGAAGGCCCAAGAGGAGGGCCTTGCTCTCAGAGCCCCCTCCCACCCATGTGCCCAGTTCCTGGGACTCACCGTAAATCTGGGCCACGTGACCCCCACCCTTCACCCGGACTCGGATGTCCACGCCGGCAAATCGCTCCTTGCCCAGAAGCAGAACAGGTTCCAGTAGCTAAAGGAACACGGGGCATGACAGGATTTTGGGTCATAAGCTGGACAGCTGAGCCACCTCACTCAGCATTCCTCTTTATTTCTCTCCAAATAGCTTCTGCCACCCCTGGCCTCAAAGTACGAGTGGAAGTACGAGTGGAAGAGGGTTGGGCTGTCACTGTGAGGCCCTCCACACAGCCAGGAAAGCAGGGAGGATTTGAAAACAGATGAGAGATTAGGGAAGTAACCTGAGCTGGGTTCCCTTCTGTTTGCGTCCCTCTCTGGACCTCACATTCCCCATCTCTAAAACTGGTTCTCAGAATGCTGGCACCTTAGCTCAACAGTAAGGAAAACCTTTGCAGCCACTAAAGTTGCCTTAAACAGTAAAAAACCACTCCTGTGCTATGTCAGGGACCTTTTTCTGGGTTCCCCTCCTGAGCTCTCCACCCGGTCTTTCAGCCTCAGATTTCCAGAGAAACTACTACATTACAACCTCTGCCATGCTCTTTCCTTGCCAGCTCTAGATCTTTTGCATGTGCCTGGACACTTTTGTTTTACCTACTTTAGGTTCCTTCCCACGAGAAGCCTGCCCTGACCCTTACACCCAGGTTTGGGCCAGAAGCCTTCTCTGGGCTTCCCGATCCCAGGCCTGACTACTTGGGAGCAGTGTCTGGTATTGCGTCAAGTCCATTTCCCCTGTTGGACTGGGAGCTCTCTCAGGGCAGGACCTGGGGCCATCTGGGTCATTGCTGTGACCACACTCAACACAAGCTAAAGCCATCAAATAAACTGACAACCAACAACACTAAGCCATGACACTCAGTATCTGCTATACAAAGGAATCTCAGCCACTATGTTATCAGATCCTAACTAACCCTGCAACGTTGATGCTATTCTCCGCATTTAAAAGTAATAGACTTCACGGGGATGTAATGTACAGCATAAAGAATACAACCAATAATATTGTAATAATTCTGTATGATGACAGACAACTAGACTTAGCATTATTATCAATTCGTAATGCATAAAAATATCAAATCGCTATGCTGTACAACTGAAACTAATGTCATATATCAATTATACTTTACTAAACACTAAGAAAAACAAAGTAATAGACTTTAAGACAGAAATGAACGCATTCTAATATATGCACCTAATTTATCCTCACAATACCTCTTCAAAATAGAAATTATACCCATTTTACAGACAAGAAACCCAAGGCAGAGAAGTGAAGTTACTTGCTTCAAGTAGCATAGCAAGATGTAGAAATCAGACTCCAGTCTCTTTCCATCCTGAGCAAAAGAAACTGAGACCGAGAGAGGGAAAAAACCCCTTTCACAGCCAAGCACAAAAGCCTCAAATTTTGTTCCTGTTCTTTTAACACTTATTGAATACCTACAACGTCCAGACCCCACTTTAGGCACAAGGTTTTGAGGAACAAAACACTGACGCCTGTCCTCAGGGAGCCTATACTCTAGGAGGAAAAAAGAGGCAGTGAATTGTAAACATGACACACGTCCTCCATGAGCTTAGTGCAAGAAATCAGGCCCCATAAACTCTGGCAACCCCCTTGCCATCTGGTCCCCAGTTGAGTGGGCTTCCAAATATCCCAGTTTTCAAAGCAGCCCTTAATCTTCAAGACTCACGTTTTCACTCTCCCAACTCAAGCTTTACCACATCTTGTGAACCCCAAAAACCCAGCTCGATCGCCAAATACCCCGTTTTTCTGTCCTCAACTTAGCTTCCAAACATCCCATTGCTGATACGAAACTCTTCACTTTCCAAGCCCCACGAACCTCAGGAACCCACTTACTTCAACATCCCCGTCTCCAGAGCCCTCCACTCAACACCAACACCCGTCCCCCATCCCGAACCTTGTACTGCAGCGTGCGCGGCTCGATCATCTCCAGCGGCCGCCCGTTCACCTTGATGAGGCCGTTGCCCCGTTTGCAATGCGCCACGGCTGTGGCCGTCTTCTGTGGAAAGCGAGGGAGAGACAGCGGACCACGTGAGCTCCGGTCCCCTACTCCCACGTCGACCCCAGACCCCTCCCCATCGGCCTCTCCCAGACCCCGGCCTCCCCCGACCCCTCCCCTCGGGCTCCCGTCCACCTTGCGTCCGAAGACCTGCACGGACTGCAGAGGCCCCTTGGACGGCATGACTGCGGGCGTAGACGAGACCTCCTCACCGCGCGGCGCCGCGACCGGAAAAGGAAATCTCACAGCCGCCCCAGCCGCTTTTCAGGGTCTGCGCAGGCGCCGTGAGCGCTGCGTCGCGACGGGAGGGAGCTTTACGGCCCCTGTTGTAGCCAGGGGGCGGGGCTTCGGATTGGCGGCGGGAAGGCGGGTCCCAGGAGCGGAGGGGGCGGGACCTACGAGGTGGAAGGGGCGGGGCCTGAAGGGTGTCGGGCGGAGACCGAGAAGAAGGGTGAGGACAGGCTGTTATTTACATCCTCGGCCCTCATTGGTTCCCGCGCTTCTCGTTGGCATAGCGGCTCTTTAATAAGCTCCCTCCGCCCCTCTCTTAATCGAGTCTCACCCTCCGCTAGCGGGGTCTCTTTTTCCCTCTCACCATCTGCAGTCTTCCTCCTGGCTAGACTCCCTCCTCCCAGGATCCTCTTCCATCAGAATCTTCCCTTCAGAACCCACAACAAGAAATCAGGCAGAATTTCCAGATTCAGGATTCAGAATCCTCTTGCCCTCTAGAACCCACCTCCTTCCTGAGTCCTCTCCCAGAATCCTTTTCCTCTTAGAGCCCCCATCCCCAGAATCTACCTTTCACCAGGATTTCCTTACTTTTAGAGTCTCCTCCTCCCAGAATCCTCTCAGAAGTGCACCCCCCCAAAATCCCCCTCTTCAGAGCCCTCACCCTAGACTCTCTTTCCTTGAATCTCTCTCCACTCAAGGGCCCTCTTTCCCCGCAATGGGTTACCCCCAGAATCTTCCCCTCCTCAGGACCCACTACCCCTAGAATCCCCCTTGGTCGTAATCTCCCTTTTCTCTCAATTCGCCTTTCCCAGAACTGGCCCCCTAGAATCCCCTTTCGCAAAATGTTCCTCCCTTTCAGAGCCCTCTCCCTCAAAAGCTACCTTTCCCAAGAATTTCTTTTCCTTCAGAGCCTCCTCTCCTCTGCAACTCCCTCCCCTGGAATTTGCCTCCCCTAGAATCCCCCACTCCTTAGAGACCCTCCCTCCAGATTCCACTTCTTCAGGGTCCCTACCCTAGAGCCCCTCTTTCTCCAGAATCCCCCAAATAATCTCTTCACTCTCCCCCAAACTCCCTCCTCTTCAGGCCCCTCCCTACAGAATTCTCCATCCCCAGCCCCCCCCCACCCCGTCTGAGGAACCTCGGGAATGGGTTGGCCCCCGCTTTCCCCTACTCAGGATGCTCCCCTCCCAGCCAAGAGGCTCCTCTCTCAGGGCTGCAGAGAGCCCGGAGTTGCCTCAGTTTCTCTGGCAGCACTGGGTCTGGGGTCCAAGGTTCAAAAAGGTGTGGTGGCTCACCTCCTGCCTGGAGGGTGGAGACGGGGTAGAGGTTGGTGGGCAGGTCGGGCTAGAAGGAGGATCCTCCAGCCCAGAGTCCAGCTCCAAAAGGGTGAGAGAGAGGGGGGAGGGGGAGGGGGAAGGAGGAAGGGAGCACCCAGAGGCTGACTTGGAGGGACAGACAGACAGATACACAGCACAGGAGAGAGACAGGCACACATGGAGGAGAAAGGAAGATGGAACAGATGGTGAAGAGGAGAAAGAAAATAGACACCAGGTCAGTCAGAGATGGACCCAGAAAATACAAGTGACAGATTCAGAGGCAGAGAGGCCAACTCTCAGAGAAAGACGACAGACAGGTACAGGGCAGCATGGAGATTTTGAGACACTTGAGACAGAAATAGAAGTAGAAAAGAGAGCAGAGCCCCCCCCCCCTTGTACCTGCAGACACGGATGAGGCCCAGCACAGGCATTTTCCAATGAGAAGACAGGCCACAGAATGCACACACTCACACACTCTGTACTGCCTTACAGGCCTGTTTGGGGGACAGGGGAGGCTTCCAAACTCTCCAGTCTTTCTGGGCTGATCCTCACACCCTTACTAAATCTTGTATCTTCCCTGGGGAGGAAGGGGGTCAGGGAGCCCTCTGACTCCCTCCCTCCCCACTCTAGCATCACCATGTTCTCTGGCATTTTGGAGAACATTCCCTGAGTGTCTATGGATTGAGTGGAGCTGGAACTGGGGGGTTCATGGACAGGGGCACTTCCCTTCATCCACTACAGTCTTCCAACTTGCTCCATCTCTCTGTACCTCTTGCTTCCAGGACGCTGGCCCAGGACCAGAGAAAGCCTGGGGATGGGCAGGGTGTCCATATGGCCTCTCTGGACCATCCTCCTGCTGATGTGGCCTTTGGGGGGCCTAGGACCACCCCTCTGCCCTCGGGAGCCTTTCTACTTCCTCGTTGCCCTCATGAAGATGCTGGTGAGGAAGGGGGAGCGGGGAGCCAGCAGATACAGCAGGGAGAGGGTGGGGTGGGGGACATGTTTGAGGAGGGGTCAGGCTCTCCCCCTCCAAGATCTGATTCTCCTCCCTACCCCAAAATTGTAGGGAAACAAAAATGATGGCACTCTCTACACCCCAGATGATTTCTCGGTGAGTATTTCATTAGCTCCTTACTGAAGTTGGAAGTTTAGAGAATCCACTAGGCTTGAAACACACATATGTTGGGGGCTGGTGTTCTGGCAGTACAGCCCCTGACCCAGCCTCCAGTCCTGACAAATATATTTTGTGCCCTGCTGTTTCCAACACCTAGAACAGTGACTGGCTCGTAGTAACAGCAAATGATGATGATGGTGATTATAGCTACACTTAAATAGCACTTGCTCTGTGCCAGGTACTGGTCTAAACACTTTAAGTATATTAGCTTACTTACTCTTCACACTGACCCTATGAGGTAGACAGGGCCACCGTGTATGGATGTGAAGGTTGTACACTGCACAAGGATCCCACATGTACAATATTCACATCCTAGACATATTTGTCAATTTCTGGCAGATGACAGTAAATTATCTTGTTCTAACAAAATCAGCTCTTAGAAGTGCTTTAAGGGGCCGGCCCGGTGGTGCAAGCGGTTAGGCGCGCGCGCTGTGCTGCAGTGACCCAGGGTTTGCCGGTTTGGATCCCAGGCGCGCACCGATGCACCGCTTGTCAGGGCATGCTGTGGCGGCATCCCGTATAAAGTAGAGGAAGATGGGCACAGATGTTAGCCCAGGGCCAGTATTCCTCAGTAAAAAAGAGGAGGATTGGCATCGGATGTTAGCTCAGGGCTGGTCTTCCTCACAAAAAAAAAAAAAAAGGAATAACTTAAAAAAGTGCTTTAAAGGAGTGTCTTTTTCTAATTTACACAGGTACAGTACAAGCTAACGTCAGCCCTAAAGGTAGGGAGTATTCAGAGCTCCATTTTACAGATGAGGAAACTGAGGCCTAAAGAGGTGAAGGGGCTTGTCCCAGGCCACAAGTTAGAAACTCTGGCGGTGGGGAGTGGGGATCAGGCCCTTGCCCACCAGATCACTCTGTCCCCCTAGGTGTGTCCTGCGGAGACTCTAGGCTGCTTCCGGCTGGAGCTGTCTGTGATAGGGTTGGAGGAGGGCCCATCTGTGGGGACTGCTGTGTTCCGGCTACAGCGTCTGCTGGATGCCCTGGGGTCCCGGCTGTGGGGGACTGGCCAGGGCCCTTGCCCACCCTGCGAAGGACATCCCCAGAGACCTGTCCCTCTCTTTCTGGCCAAACTCTTGGAGTTATTACAGGGGGCTTGTGCTCGGCGCCTGCCCTCAACATGAGCTTGGAGGACACAGGCTCCCTGGTGCTCCTGGAGAGGCTGGGTAGAGAGAGGGAGAGACTTGGTCTCCAGCCCTACCTGCCAAACCCTAAGCCCTCTCCTTCTAGGACAGATGATGCCCCCCTGGAGCCCGAGGAGCCAAGGGGAAGAGGAGAGAAGGAAGAAAATAAGGTGAGATCCAAAGCCTGAAGTCTCTGACCTCCTGGGGCAGGGGGGGTTGGATAAATTGGCACCCACCTGTCTCTATTTTCCCTCTCTTTCAGATACTCCCTTCTCTCTCCTCTTCCAGGAAGGAACAGAGCATTGCACAGGTGTCTCCTAACCTCATCCCCACCACTTGAGGACAGGGCGAGTCTTGTGGCTCACATCCCTCGCTGCAAATAATTACCACCTGGAGAACTTTCACGTGATACTGATGGTCAGGCCCCCACTCAGAGAATTTGATAACTGGTCTCTGGTGGATCCTGAACATCTATATTTTTAAAGTCAACTTTATTGAGGTATAATTTACATACAGTAAAAGCCATCGGTTTTAAGTGTACATTTCAATGAGTTCTGACAAACATATACGCATTGCCACATTTCCATCAAAAATTCCACAATTCCCCCAAGCATTCCCTCATGCCCCTTCCCAGTCTCCGCCTCTAGTCCTAGACACCCGCTAATCTGCTGTCTGTAATAGATTAGTTTTGCTTCCTCCAGAGTTTCATATGAATGGAATCATACGGTACATATCCTAGTGTCTGGCTTCTTTCACTCAGCGTGGTTTTTTGAGGTTCATTCATGCGTGTACCAGTAGTCTGTTACTCTTCGGTTGTATGGATGTACCCCAACTTGTGTCTGCATTCTCCTCATGGTGGACATTGGGTTGTTTCCAGTTTGCGGCCATTATGCCTCTCTCTCATCTTATCTTCTCAAGTGTTCTTCTGTGGTGCCAGGGTTGAGAGTTGAGAACCACTGAGACATCAAAGAAGAACTTTCTATGGGGGCACTATTACCCTTCCCTCTCTTTTCTGGAGTAAATGTCTTTCTGGAGCAGTGTCATAATAGGCATTTGATATGTGGAATCTTATTTTAAAGAGCTGCTGTTTAAAGGAACCAAGCTTATGGAAGGGGACACGTCTCTATGGAGTGCTCAGCCCCTCCCCAGTCTGTCTTGGATTCCATTTAGGATTGTTGATCCCGGAGTGTGTGCTTATGCAGAGATGCACCTGGGGTATATTTACCCCCCGGTAGCTGTCTTGTGAGCCTGCTGCCGACCCAACCGCAACATACCCCTGTAACTAACTAGGTGCATATTAAATGTCTGTAAATGGAATCCAGGTGTCTCAGTGCTTATGCGAGAAATTTTAGCAGTGTGTTGTAAAAGCTTCTGATTTTTTTTTTCCTTCATCAGGTTAATTTTTCATCTCTCTTCCTCTTGCCTGATCCTCTTTGGCACCTCTCTGACAAATAATTACTAATACATAAATCCACATTTAAATCAACTTAGACTGTAAAGGAAAATAAGGGCTTTGGGGTCACCCAGACTTGGAGAGGAGTCATGGGTCTGCCGCTTTCCAGTTTATTTTTCAGAGGTTCGGTTTCCTCGGTTGCAGCATGGGGGTACTTCCCTCCTAGGAATGCTTTAGAGGGTCCGTGAGATAAAGTCTGATTGGTTTGCTAATTTATTATTATTATTTGCTAATTCCCTGCCCGCTCACGGCTTGGCACATGGCGTTAGTGATCTGGACTAAACTCAAGCACGAATTCCTGGCTGGAGAAGGCCGGGTGCGAGCGGGGAATAACGCTGCGCGCGTTGACCCTCTCAAGATGTCGGCTCCACGCCCTGCATTGAGACAGCTCTGCCACTCTCAAGATGGCGTCCTGGAAGTGCGTCGCCGGGGTCGAGTCCCGGAAATCTCGCGTTAGGCGAGGCCAAGGGGTAGGTTCTCGCGAGAGGGCACGTCAGTCCCAACTAGGCGTCGTGCGAACAGCAGCTGCTGCCGAGGGCGGAGGTGGTGCCGGAGCGGTGAGGGGTGGGTCGCACGCCGTGGTGGCAGGCCTGGGGGTGGCCGGGGGCCGGGGAGGCGTAGAAGCCAGATTCGGGGACTCGGGAGGTGTAGCAGGTGGCGTAGGGGGCCCCGTTTCGGGTTCACAGTTGCCGGAACGAGGCTGCCGGAAGTGCGCTGAGGGGTTTTTCTTCTCCCCGGGACCCGGCGGGGAAACTGAGGCTCGGGGTGGGGCTCGGGACTGGGGGACGCGCTGAGGCCGCCGTCTTTTCCCACAAGAGCAGATGTCGGACAGCGAGGACAGCAACTTCTCCGAGGAGGAGGACAGCGAGCGCAGCAGTGACGGCGAGGAGGCCGAGGTCTGTGGCTGGCACGCCGGAGGAGGCCCTGCGCCCGGGGACAGCACCGGGGCAGAAAGGCCCCGGGGGCAGCTCGGAGGGGCTCCGAACGAGCTCTGGCCTCTGGGAGCTTCCAGGTTGTCGGGGGCGAGAAAGTAGGGAAACCCAAGTCAAGCAGAGGCACAGGTGCTGGAGGCCAGGGATGCTCCGGGACGTGGGATGACAGGCGGTGTGTTTAAAGGGCCGGACGTATAGTAAGTGCTCATTCTTTTATATTCAGGAACGCTCAGTCCTTCCAGGAATGTATTTTTAGCGCCTACTATGTGCTAGGCACAATTCTGGGCCCTTGGGCTATTCCAGTAAACAAAACAGTTGAAAAATCTCTGCCCTCGTGCATGTAAATAAACATAGCTGATAAGTAAGTCATTCAGTAAGCTGGCAGGTACTATGGAGGAGAGGGGAGGAGAGGAATAGGGAGGCCTGCTTGCACTTTAAATAGCGTGATCAGAGCGAGTCTGGGCGGCCATGTTTGAAAAAAAGATCATTGGAGGTGAGGGAGGGAGCCATGGCGTATGGAAGAAGGGTGTCCCAGTCGGGGGACCAGCAGGTGTAAAGTTGGGAGCATGTCTGCAGGGTTCAGGCGGTAACAAGGGGTCCAGTTTGGCTGGATCAAAGTGAGTGCAACAGAGAAGTAACTGGAGACGGAGCATATGTTGAGGGGCACGGTGTGGAATTGGTCTTTGACTGAGTGAGACGGATTCGTGAGAAGGTTTTGAGCAAAGAAGGGATGTGATCTAATGTTTTGAAAGGCTCTCTGTGGCTTTGGGTCTGTTGAATGTCACTGTTTCAGGAACCAAATAACAAACGTGTCCTGGGGCATATCTGGTTTCCCATATTCTTTTGTTAACTATTAATATCTTTTATTTATTTCTGACTTGTTTGTTGAGCGAATAAATGTTCGCGCATCTACTGCGGTCTTCCAGATACTTCCTAGGTGTTGGAGAGAATGGAGCAAGGCAAATCTTTGCTTTCATGGAGTTTACATTTGGTAGACAGCAGTTACAAACCAATAAAGAGAGGACACGATGATTATAGATGTCTTGTTTGATCTCCATAAACATGTTTTTGTGTGTGTGAGGAAGATCAGCTCTGAGCTAACATCCGATGCCAATCCTCCTCTTTTTGCTGAGGAAGACTGGCCCTGGGCTAACATCTGTGCCCATCTTCCTCTACGTTATATGGGACGCCACCACAGCATGGCCTAAGGAGCGGTGTGTCGGTGCATGCCCAGGATCCGAACCCTCACCCTCAGGCTGCCGAAGTGGAGCGCACACACTGAACCGCCGGGCCACCGGACCGGCCCCTGAACGTATTTTTTAAGTTAGTTGCCAGCACTTGTAAGGGCAATTTCGTGTAAAAAGTCAAGAATCCCTGCTTTTCTGGGAAAATGGGAGGAGCCAGCAACCTGAGACCCAGGATTGTTCTACACAGCAGCTCTTTGCTCAAAAAGTGGCAGCCCTCTTTAGAACTGGGAATTTTCTCCATTTCCCAGGATATATCAATGGCCATTTCTCATCATGCCTGCCTAGTGGCAGATTTAAGAAAAGGAAAGATTTAGGGGTCGGCCCCGTGGCGTAGCAGTTAAGTGCGCGCACTCTGCTGCTGGCGGCCCGGGTTCGGATCCCAGGCGCCCACCGACACACGGCTTGTCAGCTGTGGTGGCGTCCCACATAAAGTGAAGGAAGATGGGCACGGATGTTAGCTCAGGGCCAGTCTTCCTCAGCAAAAAGAGGAGGATTGGCATGGATGTTAGCTCAGGGCTGATCTTCCTCACAAAAAAAAAAAAAAGAAAGGGAAAGATTTCACATACCTGTGTCCTGGGAAACATCAGGTAGACGGCGAGTGCTGTGGGTTTCTCTTGAGCTGCCGCACTTATTTAGGTTGCCTGCTTGCCCTCTGTGGGCATTTGATTGTCAATCCTTGTTGTGCCCTTTGGGGCGTTCTCAGCTTCCAGTGAAGAGTTGGAGGAATTGGGGTGTTGTGGCGGGGAGTGGGGGGAAGTGGGAGGATGCCAGGAAGGGCCTTTGCTCTGAGCTGTAGCGCTGGGTCCTTGGTTTCTGACTCATGGCTTCAAGACACTGCTTGTGGTTAAAGCCTGGTGGTAATGAGACCAGGATCCCCGGTTCCTTTTCCTGGCTGGGGCAATCTGGTTTGCACTGTGTAAGTCTCACTTCCCCAACACCACACCAGGCTCTTGACTTAACCTGCTAGCTCATCTGCTGTCACCGTGTGAGGCCGAGGGGCAGTGTGAGGCCTGCCCTCACTGCCAGAGATAGAACTGGATGGTCTTTTCAGACAGCCACGTGTTGGCATGGTCCTTGAAGGACCAGGTCCTGTGGCTAGACAGACAGGGATGACAAATTATGAGCCACTGTTGGGGGAATCGGCTGACTCACCATTCTCAGCCCCAGTAACTTGCTCATTCATTCATTCAACAAGTATTTTTGAGTTCCTGTCATGTTGGGTTCACAGCCTCCCTCATGGAGCTCTCTGTCCTGGGGTGGAGGTGGTTTTATAAATAGATGGTTCCTTCAGGGGCTGCTGAGAATGGATGATGTAAGAGCGCTTTCAAATCCTGAGATAACAGAGAGATAGTAGTGGGAGCTCTGTTCTCAGGGAGTGAGGAGCCAGATTTGGAAAGAAGGC